GACTGTTGAGTGTAAACCCACTCTTTTTCCATAAAAATTCAGGCACTTGGCCGTTGAATGCTATTTTAGCACTTGTCTCTCCTGAACATTTGGTCTCCTTTATTGATTTTGATAGGACAAATCTCCAAAGTCTCTGGAGGCTAGTTGTTTAAGAAACCCCTTGCATCTTGGTGTTTGGTCACATTGCTTTGGGTTTAAGGCTTTCTTTAGAATATATTAATAATTAATATTAAAAAATTAATTAATAAAATATATTAATATTTTAACAGTTCATTTGCCATTCCCATGCATTACCTGAAAGTGTGTCCAAAAAACCTTGGATGCCCACACTGCCCACAATACCTCACCTCCTATACAACATGTGTACCAAACCCAAGCATTTGGTACCATCTCTTTGGGCTTGCCCTTTGCATTGAAGTGAAGACCTCTACAGTAAAAACAACTGTTTTGAACAAAGACCCTTTGAAAAGCAAACTTTGACTACTACTGCAAAACAGGTTTCATTAACTCTTCTAGCTGGTAGCAACTGTTGGAATTGAACACTCATGCTGTGTCCTGCCTCATCCAGGCAGAACAGCTCCAGCCAGCCTGCTCTCTGCTGAAGGGCATCCCCTCAGAAAATGGAGAGCACAACTGCGTTGAGGCAATTGAAATAAAAGCCTTAATTTAGTAAAATTGTTTAAACTCGGTCTTTTGAGTACGCTGTGCAGATGGCCCACTGTCAAAATCTGTGTCTCCCTCCACTAGCTGAAGCGGTAATAGCCCTAAAGTACTATTTGAGATAATGAACATGACAATATCCCAAGATACAGGTCATAGTCCCATTCGTGTCTTGAGGCTCTAAAAATCTGCTCCGTCTGTGTATCCCTTGTGGCTGCAAGAGCTGGGCATAGCGTTTCACCTGGGTGAAAGCCTGCTTCATCTTACCAGCACACACGGCAGCTTGTTGTTCTGCAGCGCCACGTTCCACACCGCACCTCAGGGATGCTTAAAACTAATTTATCATCCAACTAGGCACAGCATGGGCTGAGCAGCAGAAAGGACTGACATCTCTAATTTGGTACAGGGCCTGCTTTAAAGTTGCTGCCGCAGCTTAGACGGAGAAACTGAGTGGGAAAGATGCTTCTCCACATTTTCAGACTTTGAGCTGGAGCACACAGGGGCACTGAAGGCGCACATTTGGCCCTTTCCATGGCCTACTGCCTGAAACATTACAGGCTCCTGTGTACCTTCCTGAAGCCTTGCAAAATGTGAAACAGAATAAAACTCTTCCATGTACTCTTTTCCACACAAAATCAATCTAGGAAAGAAATGGGGAGAAAGGAAGATATGCAAGGGGCTAAAAGGGTGGGCACACCCCATCAGAGAAATGATGATCAACAAAGGGAAGGGGATGAGAGGCTCTAAAGCAAGGTAAGCAACTCAGACAAGTTTCATGGCTTTTTCTTAAACTGAGATGTGGGCAATTCTACTTTTCTAAAGTTATTGTAAACAATTGTCCTTTTCTTAAGACTATTGTAAAATTACCTAATGACAGTTTTTAACTTATATTCCCTGCAAACTAAGTATTATTTTTACCTAAAATGACAGAGACCAAAATACTCTTATATAGGAACTTCACACTTACTGGGATCTACCTGTACAGTAATTTCTGACAGGTGATGGAAAATGGCCTGAAAAAAAAGCAAAAATCTTAGTGCTTCCCACAGGAACAGCCACGTTTTCTGCCAGTACTGTAACATACTTCTGCACTCATTAAGAGTTGCAAATTGAATCAAAACAAAGGTGTGCAAGAGGCAATTTCAGCACTGTTCTTTGTATAATCCCAACAAATGACAGTACAGATCAGTGCTGGCTTCGACAGGACACTATCACTTCAGGAGATACTCAAAGCAGCCCATCAAACCTACTTTATTCTCCATTTTCTAGGGCAATGTGAAATATTTTTCTGCAAACTAAGTGCATATATACACCTTGACTGTTTCACAGGAAGAGTGTTTAAAGTAAGCACAGTGTAATTAAATGCCACACCATGAATCTATTTTGTGTACTGCGGTCTTAGATAAGGCTGTTTCTAGCTATCAAACATTTTTATGTCTTCTAGAGACAGAGATTAAAATAGGCCTTAACATAATTGGTAGCAATGATCTAATACTTTCAGCTTAAAGGTTGCATTATTGTAGCTATAAAACAGGTGAGAATGCATTTAAATGCTGAATAGAATTGGTTTGTTAACTCTTGCTCAGGTAATAGTGTTTTAAGACACACTATTTTTTAATAAGCATATATGAAACTACCAATGACATTAAAAATAATCGTTAGCAGATTAAAAATGTCCAGCAAGCGAAAAACAGAAGATGAAATTCTGCCCAAATCATATAGTTTAATAAGAATCAAACAAATGGTAGAGATTTTTCATGTAATTTATATTTGACACAAGTACTATACACTGGTGTGTGGGCACTTACAAAAATAGAAATAAAACCCATCTCAGGTCTTCTTTAACAATTCTTCAACCATTTTACTGAACACTTATGTACTAGGTGTTACGGAAAGCAGTATAAAAAGAAATCTTTGTATTTGAAGTGAATTGCTATTCACAGTTAGGCCTTTGCTTGAAGCTGATACAACTGTCAGTAATCACAAGAGATGTGAGACAGGCCTGCTATTCAACAGCACACTCAGCATCCCACCTCACCATGCTGGTTCCAAGTGATCAAAAACGTTAAAAAAACTAATATAAACCAACTGCCAAAAAATTTAGTGGTTCATAACTCATTTTCAACCTGAATGAGAACAACAAACGCAAGTTGCTTTGTAGCAAGCCACTATCAGGGCATAACTATGGATTTTTTTCTCACCCTCTACAAGCAGAATTCAAAGCAACAGTTCAGATTTAAATGCAGGAAAAGTATAGAGGTGCATACAGAGACGTAGTCTGAAGCTTTAGAAGTCTCAATTTCACATGGAGGACTCCACAGACTACCTAAACACACTCTAGCGGTATAATCTGAAGATCCCACACAAGATATTAACTTCTCAAACTGAAAACAATTCTTACAAAATTGAGCCAAGGCTTGATGAGTCTCTAATCAGACCCATGAAATGGGCAAAAACATCATTGGTCACTGGCTTTACATCCAAAACCTCCTGAAACTTATCAACTGTAAAACACCCCCAGGTTGCTGTATGGGATTGATCTGCCCTGAAAATTAACATAATGTAAAATATATGATAGAATCACAGAATATCCCGAGTTGGAAGGGACCCACAGCAGTCATCGAAGTCCAACTCCTAACCCTGCACAGGACCCCCAAGGATGCCTCACAATGTTCTCCAAATGCTTCTTGAATTCAGACACGCTTGGTGCTGTGACCACTTCCCTGGGGAGGCTGTTCCAGTGCCTGACAACTCTCTGGGTAAAGAACTTCTTCCTAATATCCAAGCTAAACCTTCCCTGACTCAGCTTCATGCTGTTCCATCGTTCCTGTCACTAGTCACCAGAGAGATCAGTGCCTCCCCTGTGCTTCCCCTCACGAGGAAGTTGTAGACTGCAATGAGGTCTGCCTCCTCCAGGCTGAACAGACCAAGTGCCCTCAGTTATTCCTCATAACAGTTTCCTCTCAAGGCCCTTCACCACCTTTATTGCCCTCCTTTGGACACTAAGAGCTTATTATCATTCTTATATTGCGGTGCCCAAAACTGCATGCCTATTCCAGGTGAGGCTGCCCCAGTGCAGAGCAGACTGGGACAATCCCCTCCCTTGACCGGCTGGCAATGCTTTGCCTGATGCCCCTCAGGACATGGTTGGCCCTCCTGGCTGCCAGGGCACTGCTCAGATTCAACTTGCCATCGACCAGGACCCCCAAGTGCCTTTCCACAGCACTGCTCTCCATGCTCTTGCCTGTACATACATAGAGGGTTGCCCCATCCCAGGTGCAGAATCCAGAACTTTTCTTAAACTTCATATGGTTTTTAATGGTTGATTGTCCAGCCCTCTTATTTCTCAAGGTCTCTCTGCAGAGTCTCTACATCTTCCAGAGACTCAAGAGCTTCTCCCAATTTAGTAGCATCATCAAACTTGCTTAGTATTCCTTCGAGTCCTGCATCCAAGTAATTTATGAAGATGTTGAAGAGCACAGGGCTCAAGACGGAGCCCTGTGGAGCCCCACTAGTGACAGGCCACCAGTCTGATGTCACCCCATCCACTGTTACCTTCTGTGCTCCACCCATGATCCGACTGCTCACCGACCACATGATGTGTTTATCCAGCTGTGTGCTGGGCATTTTGTCCACAAGGATTCTGTGAGAGACAGTATCAAAAGCTTTGCTGAAAAACAAAAAGATTACATCGCCTGGCTTTCCTTGATCAACCTGGTGGGTTACCTTGTCATAGAAAGAAATCAGGTTTGATAAGCAGGACTTTTCCCTAAGAGCTGCGCTGGCTCTGACCAATGACTGCGTTGTCCTCAGCTGTTTTTCCATATGCCCATGCTAGTACTTTTTGTAAGCTGCCAGCATTTCCAAAATGCAGTTAGTCTGCTAAATATAGGCACCTAAAACTGGTCCTAAATCACTTCCTGAAGTTTTTTGGGTTTTATACTTTCTTTTTTCATCAACAAGAAGGGGATCCTTAACTGACTAGACTACATTTTTGTGTCTGGAAATTACAGTAAAAAACCTATGTTAAAGATGGAAAAGAGCTAGAGTTTGGTCCAAATCCATACCAGAGGCTACTATGACAAGAAAGGGATTTGGAAAGTGGAGGCAGACCAACTCCTAGGAAATAAGCTGTTTAAGAAATCCCAGACATGTACTGAGGGACCAAGGTGGTAGTGTGATAACCCATTCATAATAAGGAAAAAGATACCCAGACAGTTTTCTTCCGTTTAATATCAGGTGGTGTTATAAACTGCTAAACCCAGACATCTTCACATTATTACACTTGATGCACCATAAAACAGGTTTATGTTACAGTGTAAGATTCACTATTATAAAAGTTGCAGAGACCTTCACACACAAGTCTTTATTTTTAACTCCTCTTATTCACATCCAAAGCCAGTAATTCTTATCTGTGCACAAACGGAGTATTTTCTTCTATCTTCTACAGTCGCTTTCCAACCAACCAGTTCTAAACAGCAACACCAACACTGGTAGTGAGAAATCAACTAGTAAGTGCCATGGCAGTCATTTGCTCAAGTCACACACACTTCTTGCTGGATAGCCGGTTGTGGAATTTTACTGTCCTCTGTCTTTTCCTGCCCAGGAACCTGGCACACAGTCTTTCGTTTGAATAACCGTAGACTTAACCGTAACAAGTCACTGTCCATTGCTGCGGAATTTGTGTAAGTTTGTTTTGTTGCACCCTGTTGAAATGAAAAATGAAAAATTAAAAAACAAAGAACTGAAAAAAATGCCTTTTAACATGCAAACTGAGACATTAACCTCAAGTACTCTCAATAATTAGAGGTTTAATCATACATATCCACTAGAAAAGGCTTTGAGAATTAATGATTTTTCTATTAGCATGCAAGATCATAAATTTACTGCAGTAGCAAAAATGGCTAAAGTAATTTTTCTTTCAATTTTAACTTGAATTCTTACAATTCTTATAAAAGTATATGGAATCTTTAAGTAGGAAAATTATTTAACAACCGCCTTTGAAATTGTATGTTATCCAATTACTTCTTCATGTATTCTCTAGATATAGAAAATGTATCTCCAGAATTTAAATGCCCAAATGAGAAGAAACAGCACTTACCTCTAGTCTTAAACTTAATCTCTCATTTTAAGTGAAAAATAAACACCCTACAACCTCTCTTAATAAAAGTCTCTTAATTATTTATAGGACTAGGTCTACTTCAGGACAACAAACACAAAAATTATCTCCCAAGAGAAATGCTCTGCTTAGTGGAATCCACGCTCTGACCAAGCACTTGTAAGCAAACTACTTGCCTTTTCATTCTTCATCAGCTGCTTACGAATTGCAGAATCTCTCCGAAAGCACAGCGCTTTGCAGCAGGGACCCAGATTACTGAGAAGACCTGCTCTCTCTTCTTTTCGTCGAAGCGCAGCCATGTTCAATGCCCCCAGTTCATGTTCAAAAAGGTTTTCTGCATCTAGAAAGAATTCATGGTTGCAGAGATTTACATATACATGGTATTTCTGAACAGCAATATATAGTTATATGAAATTTCTTAAAATTTTACTATTTGTATTTCTGCCCTCTAAAAAATATTGAGGTTTGGGAAGAAAGGATATTAGTTTATAAAATAAGATTAACAAATCCTTTGCCATTCAAAGAGAAGGATAAGCTTCAGCACTGGAAAGCAATATTGAGACAGCAATCACTGAGAAGCCTAAAAATCAAGTGACAGGTCTGGACAGAAGACAGGGTATGATTTATGGTCAGACCTGTGTGATGGAAGAAAGGTGTTTACCACTTGCATTAATCATAAAATAGTCTAATTTTCACTTCTCTGCAAGACATCAGATAACCGTACCACTATCAACACGGGGTTTGTATGACTTAACAGAAGAGAAATAGAACTATCTAGAATAATTCTTTTATATGTGGTGGATGAAACTGGAGAACAAGTCAAGAGATGCTAATGAACTACTCCTTCCTACCAGCTCACCTAACGCATTTGTTGACAATACTCAAAGTGAGAGCCCCAAAGCACATTTACCAGGAGAAACAGTGTGCAGATAGAACAGTTCTACAAGAGGTGGATCCTGAGGAGAATCTTGTTCTGCAACAAGTCTGTTTCTATGAAATGCAGACAAAACTGAAAAGAGTGGTTGGACCACAGGTCATTGATTTATAACTCTTTTACAATAAACAGGAAGATTATGATACTATAGAAAGGGAAAAAAAAAGGTAAGGTATGTGGCTAAGTCCAATCCAGCTGTCTCTATATAGTAAACTGGGAGTTCAGCAGGGAATTCAACACCTCACCAGATATGTCATGAAATCTGGGGAAAATATAGCATCTAAAAGCACAGACTGCTACAGCAGTTCAGCAATATACATACAAAAGAGGACAAAGATGCATTTTTAAACCACTCAGAATTAGGATGAAACTCAGTAAGACTAGTTTTTAAACAAGGTGAAAAGAAACAAAAAAGTTACACGCAATGAAGGGCAGGTTAAAGAGAACTGCACTGAAGTCATCAAGACAACCTCGATGGTCCATCAAAAAATGGAAATAAGTGACAAGACACAAAAAGGTCACTTCAAAGGTAACACAGACAGCTTGCAGAGACTTCCTGGGTGCCAGATGTTTGCTGAGCATATCTGGCAAGTAAGCATGTCCATATCCTTACAGAAAACAATTGCATATAATAGGTAGAGGGCAAGTCAGCTGCAAATCTCAGATCCATTGCATACTACAGATTTTTGTTTCCAAACAACAACCAAAAAAAGCAATTAAAAAACTACACCCCCAAACAACCTATCATTTCCTTTCTTTCTGCATTTCAGAGTATTAACAGAAACTTTTCATCATCAACAAGAACAAAGATGGGAACAGTAAACTCAGGAATAAGACAGGGAAACAAATTATACCACCATGAGGAAGTCCAAAGTGAAAATGCTGCATTTTCACTGTAAAACACACTGAACATATCTAGCTTGAATTAATTCACTTTTTAGGGCACTGTATTTGTGCCTTTCTTTAGAATACATGTGCTGTGGCTGTGTAATCACTACACAAAGAACATTCACCTGGCAGATTACAGAGGAAGTGCATAAACTTGAAACCCTGCTGGCAGTTCCATGTGTAGCAACTTCGATGCACGAGACACTGCACATACCAAAGGGGCATCAAACAGAGGCACTTTAAGTTCCCCTTCCTCTCCTGAACAAAGTTCTCCTGAATCCAAGTATACTTAAGACAGTCCAGCAGCAGTGCTGGAGAGCCTCCTATTACCATAGGGACTTTGTTTATTTCTAGGGAAGCATGCAAGGACTGCAGAGATTATTTCGGGTATCATTTTAAACAGCCAGGTACAGTGATTCTGTGCAGTTGCTGTTGCAAGGAATCCCTGGTAACAAGTGTTCAATTATAAAGCAAAATTAGAGCTTACAGGAAGAGAGAGAGACATAGTTTACACCTTTACCATATCCGTTTGTATACTCAGGAAGACTCAATACTTACTGACTTGAGAAAAAAAAAAAGTAGAAGCAGTAGCAACAGCCCAGGATTAACAGTTATACGATTTAAATGGCTCAAACAAGCAGTGGCATTGATGGAGATTAGCAGGGTTAGGAAAAGTTTTGGGTTAGTTGGTGGGTTTTTTTTCCCACTTATCTGAGACTGTGAGGTTAACAAGACAACTGCATGAAGAATAATGTAAAGAATTGAAAGGTATTGTTTCAAATTAAGAACTAGAATTTACAGCGTAAAAAAAATCAAAACAATACGAGCTCCACAGATACTATTATTTATAAACCATAATTTTCTAACATTTAAATCATGCAATAATTTGCACAGAGATCTTAGAGAAAGCAAATATTTCATACCCCTAAAAAAACCATTCTACTACGCAAGTTGTGGCAAGCAGCTCAATTGTTTTCAGCGATGCAAAGAGAAAAATCAATATTCTTTCTCATGCAAAAGTCCTGCTTACACTAGAGAATTGTAGGAAGCAGCACTGGTATAATTCATGTCCATCCCATCTCTTAAGCATGTCTTAATGACACACACTTAGTCCAAATTCTAAACCCGTGTATTGAATTTCCCACTTCTAGCAGAGGTATAATATACACATTTCACTTAGTGCCTTCATTCTGACCCCAAAATCCCTGTCTATGAATTCTAGAGAGATCCTCAGAATAAAAATAAGATGATGGGCAGTAGACCTTCAGAGAAAATAAGAAATTTTACTTTTTTTTGTTGACATTACTATTAGTTCATTGAAAAAGATATTTAGCTCTCTAAAACAGTACTGACACACTTTGGGCTAGGGAAACATGAATGGTCTCACAAAAAGAATATTCCACTAAGATAAAAATTTTTCGTTTTGGTTATTAGTCTAGACCTCCTCACCACTGCTGGAGTGCAAACACTAATTTGACTGACGCTGTTGTATTACATCCTGTAATTTTCACACAATACTCATTATACACTTTCTGTAGTCTTTGAAACCTAAAATAATGAACTAATGCACATTTCATTAGGACTTTTTCACTAAGCACAAAAGACAGTTTCATCATTGCAGAAATTACCTTTAGGTTTTTCTAACACTCTCTGGCAAGTCTCTTTTATTTTGCTGAAGAGCTCTGGTCCCGCCAATCGCTTGGAAATGCCAACTCTCAACATAACAGCACCTGGTGTGAATTTTAAAAGAGCAGCCCCAGGCTCACGTGGTTCTTTTGGTTGCTTTGGCATAAGACTGGACCAATCTACATCTATAACATCCACTGGATCTGCAAAGATATTGACAGAGAATAAGTTATCACATCATCACTCCTTTACCACAGTTGATTAATTTCACATGCTGTGTGTGTGTACATCATTGCCTCCTAAAAGAAATATATACTAGATGAACATTGTTTTAGCTCTCTTGGACTCTGAAGGTAAAAATATCAAAACTCACTTAGACAGGTGGAAAAAAGGAGCATAAAAAAATAAACCTTCATGGATTAAAAAAAACCAAACCAAACAAACCAGTCCTAACATCTGCTTAATTTTTATTGTAATCCCTTTGTGAAAGGCTGCTCAGGCCCTGCTTAGCCTGCAGATTTGGACATAGCATTGGCACGTTCACAGAAGTTACAGTACAACTAAACATGCTAAGACAAATTCAAATTAAATGCTTAAAAAGCTAGTTAGTATTTCAACTTTCGATGCAGGATTTTTTTTTTTTTTCCAAAGAAAGATATGCTGTTTATTGAATAACCACACAATTGTGCTTCTCTAATATATTTATCATAGAAAATATAAACACCGATCATACAGCCCAGATTACCCAACTGAACTTAGGACAATTAGAAGATTCTGTGCTTCCCAATGCATTTGGAAAACATTCAAGCACAGACAGAATCTGATCATAAACTGCACTCCTAATTCAGAAATACTGTCGACATCACAACAGCATTATATGCCAGCTGATCTGTTCTTTCTATTCAAGTAATTATAAAGGGGGGTTGATATACTTTTACCAGGCATCTTCTCATCCTCCTGTTGATCCTCACGCTTTTCAGCATCACCTGCCAGAATTTCATCCAGTTCATCATCACTGATTGGCTCGTATTCTCCAGCACCAGAACCCAGTGACTGTACATCATTAGTCTTTGTTTCATCCTCTCCTCCTATAGAGATACATACTGTCACTTTAGAGCAATCATATTTGTTTTCTAAACACACTTTAAGCTGCCTGAAGACAAAAAGGTTTAGCAAACTAAACTGTTAACTTTTAGGGACAAATATATTCAACATAAAACCAGGTATTAACCCAGAAGTTATTTCTCCCATACACAATGTGGCAGTTTGAATTTTATGTACATCAGTAATTTTTTTTTGGTGCAGTAGCAGTCAAATTGCACACAGATGGCCATATTCACAAGAAACATGTTGATTATCTGGTATCTGACACGTAATTTATAATACAAATCTAAGTTGCTTTTGTACATTAATACGAATTCAGGATTCAGTCCCACAGCACTAGAAGTAACAAAACTCCAAACTACAGAAAGGTAAGAGACATCCTGAATCATGCACAGAGTTTTTAGACTCTTTGTGGCAGTCACAAAAAGAGCTTCTAAGCCATGACAAACTTCCTCTAGTTGTTGTTATCCTCCCATCCATCCACACACTATATCTGTTCAGAGATACCAGTGCTGTATGTGGAAACGTTCCTTAAGACTTGTGAACACAAGAAACTCAAATATTGTATTTTACAGTTCACAAAAGGAACACCTGAAGGCATTCTGTCACCTCCAAGACTAAAAGATCTGACTCAAGCTTTCAAAAATCCTATTGTTCTAAACTCAGGCTTTCCTATGCTTCTGCACCATGGTACTGGCAAGGAGCTGTGCCATACAAACTGGACAGAAATTACAAGGATCCTCCCCTGTGGATGACTGTTCTAATATCTTCCATCTCCCTGAGCCAGAAGGGAACCTGCTTCCATTTTAAGTTCCTCTCCCCGCTTTTTTTTTTGGCTTGCCTTCATAAAAACTACAGAGGGAGAAGAAAAATATCACCTCAACTAACCTAAAAATCAGCACAGAAAAATCAAATAAAAGACATGCTATCAGAGCATAAATTAACTACTCAGACCACCTGGCAATGATTTGGAGGAAGCATATAGCGTCTTACTCATTATTTAAGCCTGTTCCCAGAGCAAACACATTAAGGTTCAAAACATTACAATAATTTTATTATATCCTGACGCATTTAGCTAGAATATATACTATAGTAATTCATCCAAGTAAATACCAGATACCTCCTTAACATCATCAGATTTGGAAACTGTATTTAGTTTTCTAACAAGTTTTTCCTTTTTTAGAAAGGAAAATAAGGTGATCTGCAGCAGATTTCATTTTGTGTCTTACAACTTGAAATATTCGCTGACTGTATGATCCATCTTCTGCATCCACACTGATCTACCAGATACACTAGCTCACCAGTACTACCTGTTTGGACCCATTAAAAAATTTAGTGTACTAAGCAATTAAAAATAATAATTCATAATTGTCAAGTAAATAAAAACTTTGATTTTTGAGTCAAAGCTTGATAATTTCTGGACTATAATCCTATCATTACCTTTACCACTCTTTAGTGGAGATATACTTTCATATTAATTCTGCATTAAAAACTCAGCACACTACTCAGCTAAAAGGAGCAATGTAAACAGGAGTTACAAACTAATGAAAGACAATGAAGTACACTAAACCTTAGAAAATCATAAATATGCTATATATATAGCATGCTTTAATAAAACAGAATGCCATCTCATATTTTACAAGCGATATTTTTCTAAAAAAAACAAAAACCCAAACATCCTAAATATAACATAACTTCCTGCAGATCAATTTTCAGAGAATTTAGAACACAATTTTTAAAAAAACAGACAAAAGAATACACATTAAAACACTCAGAAGTCTTTTGAAAGGCTAGACCTAAGAACACATTTAACATCCACAGCCTGTTTATGTACAGGTGCCCTTTTGGAAACAGGTGATATATCTAAGAATAGCCTTTATTATCTCTCTTCTGAAGCTACCACATTGTACTCTCAGATTTACTCATATACCACTCCTTTCCTCTAGCTTAAAAACAGTTGATCTGTCTATTATGGCAAGACAGAGCAGACTTTTCCAGGTTCACTCCAAATACTATCTTTGTCAAGTGCTTCCACTCCACAGGTAATCTCCATAAATGCAATCTTCTCAATTGTATTGGTCAACCCTAATGACCACTTTGTGACTACTCATGAAGGAGACACAAGTAACAAATATTCCTCATCATCCTCTTGAGATAGCATTTAACTGCCCAAATTAATAATTAACACTACAGATAATCCTTATTAAGAATGCAAACACAATGAGCATAACCATACCCATATACCAGTTACTCTGGGTTTAGACTTGTTTCTTTTTTGTTGTTGATTTGGGTTAGAAGTACTTCCCAACTGCCTATCCATGCAGAGCTCAAGCTTCTAATCCATGTGACAAACTCTTAGAATCTGTCACTTGTTTGCCCCTTACATACTTTATTTGTCAATCCTAAGCACATCTTCCGCAGGATCACTAGGGCCAGCAAACTGAAGCCACATTTACCTCGGGAAAGCTATTTTTGGACTGTTGTGCCACGCCATACAGATGTTTCACCTACTAATTAGACAACAATTTGTATGATAATAGGGTCCTGTACAAAAAAGCCCCAAAGAACAGTTTCAAGTCAACACTTTTTTTCTTCACTCATTACCTATCCCTTCCAAAATGAGAAATAGATTGTACAATGACATAACAGGGCAATCAAATGTTCATGGCATCCTTTAGCAAACTGCCTAATCAGAAACATTACACCTTGGTGAAATTATGCTTCTTTTCCTGTTAATTTAGAAATTAACAGACAACACTAACAACAATTAACACTACGGAAGACGCTCTTCACATTTCTCTCTTATTGTGTCTGCTTCCACAGCAGAGAAGCTGAAGCCAACAAACCTTTGAGTAGAAAATTATTCTAATATAGCTCAGTTCAGCACAATGCTAACAGAGAAAGAATAAAACATTTGTCAGCCCGGGTTCTTTCCCAGAATATCTCACCTTCTAAACTCTCTACCTTTTCGGCCTCATTTCCATCTTCAAAACCTTGTAAAGGTCCTAAATCCTTGTCTGCTTTTTCCTTCTCTGAAGCTGCTGAATCCCGACAAACTCCGTCAAACTCCTTTTCATGATCTCTGTCCATTTTTGTTTCACTATGCTTTGTCGACTCCTTTTGAGAGGAGATGTCAAGAGTTCTCTCTCTCTCTCTTTCAGCAGTATCAGGCAGTTGTCTGTCTCTCTCTCTCTCCAGCTCCCGTCTTTTCTCCCTCTCTCTCTCTCGCTCTCTGAGTCTCTCTCGTTCCCGGCTCCTTGGCCAGTCTTTGTCAATATCTCGGTCCCAGTCTCTCTGTCTTCCCTCTCTCCTGTCTCTCTCTCGTTCTCGATCGTGGTCATGTCGATCTCGGTCCTGAAGCCTTTCCCTGCTATCAAAGGACCCCGATCTGGAATGGACCTGACGATCTGATTCAGGAGAACTTCTTCTTGAACTGTGGCTTCTTGAATCTTGACGATCTGGATAAAATATTTTGAATATAAGCATGACTATGACACATAAATGCAATACCATTTTACTAGACCAAAGCATTTTAAATATTCAAGTATGAAAGTATATTTCTCAAAAATATCATCTTCAAATTAGTAATGCTTTCAGACTGCCTACAGATTTAGCATCACTTAAACATAAGGTGACTTCTCCCAGTTCCAAAAAAAGAATTGCAGTGGCTACTTTCTACTATGACAGAAGCCAAACTGAAGGTACACAATTTTAAGTCAGAAATTTAGGCCCGGAAAAAAAAAATCACCTCAAAATTCATATTTTTCAAAACATGTCTTCTAAAAGCTAGGAATGCCTTAGTTAGCAAATTACGAATTCAGAAAAACAATTTTAGGCATGTAACCATGAGGAGAATAGAGAGTAGAAATGCTTTAGGAGAAAGATATTTCCCTAGTGATGCTCTTTAAATTTTAAAAGACTTTACCTATTTTTTTATACATGAAGTGCACAAATAAAACAAGTCAACTGTCATTATTTTGGTTTGCAACAAAGACGACTTCCATGTGCACTGAAAGTATGCCTAACAAGAACCACAACAGATTTACCTGATTTTGCATAATTCAGGAAATTCCATATAAAAATTAATGCTAATAATGAATTTAAGCACATAATTCAGATGATAAAACTACCTTGGTGTTCTGTTAGCACAAGCATTTTCTCTTTCCATGAGGTTTTTTGTCCTACAAATTACTTTATTCCCCAGACAGAATGAACTGAATCTGAGTCAATGTTTTGGTATAAACAAAATGGTAATCCTGCCCGCTGAGGATCAGCTTTTCAAATGTGATAACACTTGCAGGACTCTTAATTCATTCAGTTTTACAGTGAATGGCACCTCCCTCTCTGTCACACTAATTAGAGCCGGGCAAGAATGATTTAGGATTTGTACACAGAATGACAGTCAGTCTCACTAAAATGTATCTTATTACCTGAAGATGTGCTGCGACTGGGTTCCCCTCGTTTCAACTGATCAATTCTAGACTTCCGTTCAGTGATTTCTAAGTTTTTCTTCTCTCTGTCCCTGTCCCTATCTCTGTCTCTAGAGCTACTGTGCAGGATCCTCTTCCGTCCAGTCTGGTCATCTCCACTGCGATGCGCTGACTCATTGGAAGGGGATCTAAGTCTGCTCGAGGCATGGCTCCGATTGCTACCAAGGCTGCTGCTGCGCTTCTGATCCACAGGTTTACGATGTGGTCCATCCTCTATAGTAACATGAGGGGCTTCCACCTTTTCTCCCCTCGTCCTGTGACTTTTTCTATGGGAATCATCAGTGCTTCTTTCTGGAACAACAATGTCACCACGTTCAGGAACATCTTCATCTGACCAGTCACTAAATGTTGTATCTTCTCTTTTTGTGGGGACTTCTGCCACAGCTTTCTCAGGTGGTGCTTCAACCAATTCATCTTTAGTTACAGGAGGGGTTCTTGGACCTTTTTTCTTTTTATGGTGTGGAACAATTTCTTCATCAGAAACTTCTGAATCACCCTTGGATCTCTTCCGCTTTTTCTCTACATTTTTCCTTTTCTGACCTTTCTTGGGTGAAAAGACCTGGCTTTCCTCAGTTGTTGATTCATTAGTGTACCTTTCAACCCCACTGTCATCATCTTTCTTCTTCTTTGTGGCCTTTTTCTGTACCTTAGACTTCTTCTTGCTGTCATCATGCATTCTATCAGAAGCATCTCTTTCTTCAGAGGGACGGTGTCCAAGATTTTCCTGAACCCTGGACCGGGAGCCTTCTGAAGCATCTGGTTGTTCCCTTTGCTTATCTGCTGAAGAAACCCTCTCTTTAAACTCTGGTTCTTCATAACGCCGGGAACTTTCCTTTCTGTCCGATTTTCGCTCTTCTTCTTTCCAGCGACTCTGCCGCTCTTCTGTAACATGAGAGGGGCTCAGTGACCGAGATTCCTGAGGCCGCACAACCTGGCTCAGAAGTCTGTGCTTTTCATCTACAAAATGTGAAAAAGAATGTAGTTCTATTGTGTAGGAAGGAGAAAGTGTGAGCATTTGGTGTCAATTAAAACATATAATCCATGACTTCAGTGAGATTTTTAAAATTTTTCTACTGCTGCAGTAACAGACTATTTCCATTTTGGTAAACATGCATCTTAAACAGTGGATGTGGAAGTCACAACACGTAATGACAAAATAAAAGACAAACAAAGATTCAGACAAATGGTAGTTCTCATAAAAATACGAGGAGAGAATTTACAAAAACTTTCCTCGTGTTTTTCTATTTCAGATTGCAAGTTATTTTCCACAGACACAGGGTAAGCTGGATCCAGCTGCAGAGATAGCCCACTCCCACTTACTTTTATCATCTCCACTGTTGTAAGCATCACTGTCAGGAGAGTGATCACGGCGACGTTTGGGTGACTGACGAGGACTTGGACTGCTTTCGTTTCTGTGACGCTTCCTGCAGAACAAATATGTACCATCGAAGTTCTTCAGGAATCTATGAATTTATCATCATTACAATCCCTGAAGTCTAAGCACCTCATACAGAAGACAACACATTTAAAGATGCCAGGAAATTTCATAGTTTTTTAAGCTGTCATTCCAAAACAAAGTGTGATCAGTTTTTTGAGCATAGTGTAAGACACCTTAAACTAAAATTCAAAGATTTAAGGCAACTACCTTTTCATCAAAAAGTTACAAAAGACTATAAAGGTCAATTTTTCCTGTGGCAATGATCCTTGCAGCAAGCTGATCCCAGCTGGAAACTAAGTTCCCACCCAGGTGCCTGCTTACTTCATCCCCTGTGGAACCCATATTAGATTACTTTTAGGAATCCACAATTCCCTCACAAAAAAGCTACTACTTATTTCCAAGCAAAGTAATCAGAAGGGCAACATTGTTTTGCTCATTACTGATGGAACAATGAGAATTTTATTGTACTAAATGAAAAAAAAAAGAAAAAAGCAAATCAGTGCTACACACTAAAGTAAGCACCACCCATGAACCTGGGATATTTTTCAGGCCTTCAGTGGTAGCCTTCTGGTATTGAAAATATAGTAGTGCAAAGGGTAATGCATGTTCCATAGCATTTTGATGAATAAAGTCACAAACCCTGACCTAGTTAGCTGCTATTTGACTTTCAGGCTTCAAAAGGTACCACAGTCTTCTATTATGTTTCCAAGAATGCAAGCATTACTAAAGGCAAGGCCATGCAGGCAGACTTAGAAGGGAAAATGACATTGTCTGACACCACTGTTAGCTCCTGAGTAGCTCCATGATTCAGCACTAACAAAACACCAGATTAACTTCACCAGCATAGTACCGATTTGGGGGCCACCAGTATGTGCCACACAGATGCAGAGGAGACACAGTGCCAGACCAGGCCTCTGCATAAACAGGATGCCTTCTTCCTTATGATACTCCCCTGTTTACTAACTTAAAGAATTCAACAGTAAAAGACTGTCCTTTTTTTTTTTTTTTTCCTTTGACTGAAGTAACACTTGGATCCACTCACTTGGATTTTCTTTCCTCATGGACATCTCTTGAGCTTCTTTCTTCTCGGATATCTTCTCTCTTATCCCTGCGGTCTTCCCTTCCTTTTTCCTTGTCATCCCAGTCTCTCTGGCGGTCTCTTTCTTTATCTCTGTCTCGACCTCTCTCCCTTTCGCGTTCCCGCTCCCGATCTCTTTCTCGTTCTCGCTCCCTTTCGCGTTCCTCACGCTCCCGTTCCCGCTCCTTCTCCCTCTCCCTCTCTCGTTCCCTTTCCCTGTCATGGTCCCTGTCTCGGTCCCGCTCGCGATCCCTGTCTTTGTCCCGCTCTCTCTCCCTCTCCCGTTCCCGAGCACGATCTCGTTCCAACTCTCTTTCTTTCTCCCTTTCTCTCTCCCGGTCTCTTTCTCTTTCCCTTTCCCGATCCCTCTCCCTTTCTCGCTCTCTCTCCCGGGCCCTTTCATCTCTCCTATCATCAGACCGATCCACCCTTCGCTCTTCTCTTCTTTCATCCCGCTCGAGATCATCACTTCGTCCTTGATGTCGTACTGGCGAGCTTGCCCTCTGGTCTGCCAAGAGAAGCAGGTTGGATTACCAAGTGTTAACGGAATACACGCTGCTTCCACCACACTAATAAAATCACAAGACCCTTTGTTTTGGCAATCTAGATATTGGTTTGCATTAACTGAAAAGCAACTCCCTGCAGAAACTTGAAAATTCCCTTTGGGGAGGAAAAAAACCAAAAAGCAGAACTAATTTTGAAAGACTTTTCAATATTTAGGGAGTGAGCTTTCCTCTGATAGTTAAAAAAAAAAAAAAAAAAAAAAAATTTATTTTCTACCAGATTTTTCTGGACGGCTTCAAAAGATAAATATATGCTTAAGAGTCTAGCTATTACTATTGCATTACTCAGTGATTTCAAATCTGATATAAGACCACAAAAAGCTGTGAATTGTCATATACGAAATGTTAAGACTCCTGCACAAAAATCTGACTTCCTAAACCTATCAGGAGTCATGTGCTTTACAAGTACTCAGACTATTTATAATACATAGTAAAAGCTTCTGCAAAGTAAGAAATAATCTCATTGCTGAAGGAGATCCAGCACAGAAATACACAACCAAACCCACAAAAAAGAGAGAAGCAAGGATAAGATACGGGAAGCAGAACTGAATTTTTTCATATGTATTCACTGCAGAGTCTTAAAAGTTTTAGAATCTGAGTTTTTCATTGTTCAAACAGCAGATTAGAGTCAGAGGGAAAACTAAACATATGTAGAAAATTACTGATCCAGAAGGACAGTGCAATCTGATTTAATTGAACTTACTCTCCGCAGACTTACCTACATATTATTAATTACATTTTGTATATTTTTGAGTTTTTCTCTAAGTTTTGACCACTTCATAGTAATTTCTATGCTTATGTTAGTAGTATTTGAGCCACAATAAATCAATAAAACTATTTTCCTACAATATATATTAAAAGCACTTTAAAAAAGAGCAAAAAATGGCACGAACAGAGGCTGGTATTTTTCGGTCCATTACTCTGAGGCTGAAAGTGCACTTTGCAGTAAATTGAGACAATGTCCACCGGGCAGGAGTAGGAGGAGTTTGGACAGGACTAAATCAATAAAATGTGCATTTCCATCAGTGTAATCAATTTTCATCTCTGAGTGAATTAACAATGATTTAGTGCTCCCCTGTTACCAGGTAAAATTAAAAGCCAACTTGAGTGACATTTCTGCCATGGATATAACACTTCTTTTTTAAAAAGGAAAATCATCAATCCATGCAATCAGTTCACTGAACAGGTTTCACATTCTTTTAATGGTGCCTATAACATTGTAATATGATTTACTGTGCATACTAAGTATTAGATTTTATAAAGAAGTCCTGTAACTCCTATTTGTTATGTCAGTTTTGTTGACAAAACATCTATATGAAAGTCTTCTATGAATCAAATACTGCAAGTGTATTAGACAACTAGATGTGCACAGTCAGCACTTCTTATATGACTTCACTTTTTGAAGTGCTGTTTCAGTGGTTGTTTGGAATACTTACATATTTGCCCTAGTTGAAGAAAGACAGCTCAACTTTGCAAGCTTGCATTTCAAAATCACACTAAAAAGATTTCTTACATATCAGGGAACTAAGTACCAACCAAAATCTATCTCAATTTTTCTTGGAATGACAAATGTTAGAACTGTGCTCTAATTATGGAAACTGTGTCTTAAATTGCAACTCTGTAGAGGATTTACTATTACAGAAGTGGTCTAAATTTTTAAGGAAGACAATACATTTTCAATTCAAGCTCTCTATATTCCCTCCCCCAGAGGGAAACACAACCCATTCAAAGCAATGAAATCCCTTGAAGAAGTATAGTTTGTTTAAAGACTACTTGGATGAATAAACACAGAAGGTTCCAAAATCTAGCCCTAGGGCGAAAGAACACAGTATTCACGCATACATCGCCCATGAAGATTTTACTGCAGAAGTTAACTTATACTAAAGGATAGGACTAGTGTCAGTGTGTGGTGTCAAATGAGTTATTTTTGAATCAGTGACATGGAGAAAGAACAAGAAAGGAAAGGGAGAGAGAAACATACACATATATATGTATACATTTAACTACACATGTACGTGTAAAAATGTACATTAAAATACCTCTTTCTCTGTTGTCACGCCTATCCCTTTCACCATGTCTTCTTTCAAAGGAGGAATCCCTTGCTTGATCTCTGCTGTCATAGCGATCCCGATCAGCATAGCTACTCCTTGACTCCCAGCTGTCATGGTAGTTTCCACTACTGCTGTGACCATCAACCTGGGATCCTCTAGTCCCTCGACTTCCTAATAGAGATGTAGCAACATAAAACATGAGCTTCCACATGTAAGGAAATCCACTGGTATTTATACCAACTAAAGCAGTAATATCTAATAAACTTGAATTAGCAGTTCACAGACAGGGTTTGTAGCATCAAACTCTACTTAACCAACAAATCAAATATGTTTTAAAGTTCTAATTTTCAAACTGCAAAATCAAGACTTTCTAAATCACCAGCCCCTGGTCACAGCACAAGGTCTCCTGACTAGAAATATAACAGTCCAAAAGCCAGTTCACATTTATTCTGAGTAGGATGTAAGCTTGCAGACAGCACAACAAGAATAATCAGAGACAGCAGAGATCCCTTTTCCTGTAAAAATTGCATGTCATCTCCCTAATGAAAATGTCACAATAAGCCTGAAGAAGCAAAATGTATTACAGAATGATTAAAAGGTGGTAAGTGAAACTATTTTTTAAAGTGCATTAGACTTCCAAAAATATTGCCAAAGATTAAAATCCCATTTTTTTGGGGATCAAGCAAGAAGGGGTGAAGGGGTGCGGCGGAGAGAGGTGGGCGTGTGTGAAAGATAGTTTTTCAGGTACCTAAGACGTGGTTGCTTTTGAAAGAAGACAAAAAACCCACTGCCCAGGGGAAAACCCAAGGTTGCAGAAACATTAGAGTGGTGTAAGGGTTAGGGTTTGTTTTAAAATGACATGGCAGAAAATCCATGTTATGACACTTTAATGAATGGAGAACACAAAAGTGCTATGAATTTCAACAGTAGTTTTAACAGCAATAGAATTGAACATAATTTTAAAAGCTTGAACTATCTGGCTTCCATATCAAATATTAAACAAGGCAGTATGAATGCAAACATTCAATCTCCAATGATGGGGACACATGAATTTTTTAAATTATACAATACCTTTGTCAGATAATTCTGGCCCTCTGCCTCGACTTCTGCCGGTTCTATCACTTCTGCTCTCATTTCTGGAGTCACTTCTGGAATCATTCCTTGCTTCAGCACGAGAGCTCTCCTCTCTGCCATGGGATCTTCCATAGCTGCGCAAGTCCTCTTGATACTGGTCATCCTTTTTATGGGCATCACGACTCTCTCTGTCTCTGTAGTCATGGGAATCCCGTGTGGAGCGTGAGTCTCTCTGATCACGACTGTCTTTGGTATCTCTGCTATAATCCCTCGTATCTCTGGAGTCTCGAGTATCTCTGGATTCCCTTGGCTCCCTCCGATCTCTGTTGTCTCTTGTGTCCCTCCGATCTCTTCCATCACGAGACTCTCTGTCATCTCTATGATCCCTGGAGCTACTCTGCTCTTGGTCATAATCACGATCATCTCTTGTTTCTCTTTCTTTTTCTCTTTTCCCTCTAGTTTCTGTAAAATGTTTAAGAGAATGTTATACACCCAGTCTGATGAGAGCAGGGAAAAATTTAACACACAACACTAAAACAGTATAGTAAAAAATACTTATCACATAGAGTGAATCAAAATTAATATGTAAATTGGAGAAGATCATGTTGGATATATATCTACACATTCAGTAGGCGTTAAAGATGTTACTGTGAATACAAATCTCTACAAATATCTGACTGTTCAAAAGATAGTAACTATAATCACAAAAAATTCAAAGATACTAAAGAGTAAGCACACTTCAACAACTTTAAGGCAGGATCATTACTTTTCCAATCACAAGTTTCTCTTATTTTCTACATATACACACTTTCAGAAAATTTGTGCTATATTTAGACCGCTTGAAAGGCCTCAATCCCCTGCCCAAGTTTGGGTTTTTTAAATACATATTTAGAATATTGCTACTACAGCAAGGTAAGTTTAGAGCCAGTCTAAAATAAAGCTGACATATGTACTCTTTGTAATCTGTCTCTTGAGAGAAACAGCATGTTTGTTCATCACATATTGCGCCACTAGCTCTACAGATTTCCTGAGGGAATGACTGTTTCTTTGCACACACCTCATTTAATGTCAATTAAAAAGACAACAGACAGCAATCACTGAGGACTGGATCTGGCCACCTCACAGAAAAGAGTAATAGTTACTTATGAGTATCCTGCTGAGAGAACTATTTACCTACTGACACCACCACTGCATTACATAAGAACAACCTAGACAGATACCTACAGTATTTTTACAATCAGTCGAGCCTACATAAGCAGTCCTATCAGGAATACTCCTATGCACTGTTCCTGAAAACAGCACCATCAGCACAGGAAGAGTAAGTACAGCTACTATTTTCTTCACCCCTAGCCATTGGGATGGGTGCAGGCAATGCTGCAACTTGAAAGTCAAATTTCAAAATGCAATTTGCCAACAAATAGAAATCATTCTGAAGTGCCATTTCTTATTCATACCATCCCGCCTTTCGTGGCGCCTATCGTGAGACTGTGAAGTCCGATCGCGATCATGTCTTCCCTTTTCTCTTCCAGGAGATCGGTGTCTTGAAGGACTTCGCTTCCTCTGAGGTGGGGAGGAAGAGTGTGGGGGATAGGGAGAAGATGATCGCCTTGCAGGTGGCGAAGTTGTCCTTTGATAGGACGGAGAAGGAGTTCTTTTGCGGTGTGGGGAAGGAGAATGTCTTTGTACAGAGGAACCTGACTGTGATGAAGAGGAATGATGTCTGGAGGATATGGGAGAATGATGCTGACCTGATGGGGAAGCAGATCTGCAAGGAAGAGTTAGAACAGGCAGGCGTGTAATAATTTGACTTGAAAGGTTCTTAACATACCATACAAAAAAGCAATTAAAATTATTTGCCTATTCTCTACCCTCTGATGTTTCTACAAAACTTCAAACCAGTTTTCCCTCTAGGTTGCCATGGATACCCCTCCAAAATACGCTTATCTTTAAATGATTATTATTTATTATTCAAGAACAGTTTGTCCAATCAAAATTATATTACATACCTACCAGAATGCTTTCCTGGGGAAGAGAGGAAGAAGTCAGGAAAAAAAACATTATTTTTGTTTACAACAGCATTGAATTTTTTTCAAAAGCAAAAGTAGTCTCCTTCCTACAATTTATTAAAAAAAAAAAAAAATCTTACAAAAATCTTTAACCAATTCAGACTTGGATCCAGAAAAACCCGTACACAGAGCTACTCAAAATTTTAGCAAACATGACTTTTTTCTCTAACAGGGAATATTCTATCTATCTGATAGAATAAAATGTACATGGAATGCCTCTGATCTTCAAAATCCCATCACTTAATTAAATATCATTTACACAACAGCAAACAAATTTCCTCATAATATGTTATTCCATGCACAGTCTAATGTGGACAAACACACACTTCCAGTTTTTGGGCTCAGTAGGGTTTTTTTTCTCCCCCTTATCAGCATCAAAATAACTTGCAAGTATCTTTTTCTCATGAAATATGCACTGCCCTTAACTCCCAACTTCCTTCCACTTCACCAAACTCCAGAGATTAAGCAGAGAAGAGGAGGAGTTAGGAAAGCCACACACAGACAATACATCTCCAAAAACTCCACCTAATTTCAAGTCCCTGCTTTTGAATGTCCTGTTTGGTGACTTTGGTGACTTCAAATAAACATCTAGATCCAAGGAGCAAAGCTTTGGGAAAAGAATACCAAGTGAAATCAGTGGCAACCTGAGGTAGGAACTCAAATCTGTAAGGATGTCTCTTTTGTGTAAAAGACAACACAGATTTCATTACAAAACCAGATATATTCACCAAAGAAAGCACCTTGACTTGACTGCTGAAGCATTTCAGACTTGTCAGTTTACAGAAGTCAAACAAAATTTTCCAGAGTACTCGAAGTAAAACTTTGTCAGCATCAGGCATGACTGACAGAATCCAGCAGACTTTCATGTCTTTAAACTAAGACTACACTTATTTTTCCCCATGAAACCATTATTTTGAAACAGGGAGTCACCAAAATTGGCTTGCATGGAAGGCTTTCAATGATACAAAGATAAAACATTTAAAAATATCCTTTCCTGCTTCTAGTGGAAGGTCCGTTTATCTTCTCTGCTTAACATTCCCTTGCACAACACTTGACAGAAGCAGGCAATGACAAGCAAAATACTGCATTTTGTGCACTGGTAGGGCATGGGGAACTGAAGGGTGAGCACTACTTAGCAACAAATAAAACATCATGTGTTATCAACATTATTCTCATGCTAAATCCAAAACACAGCACTGTAAGCAGCTACCAGGATAAAAACAAACTCTATACCAGATGAAAACAGAACAGTGGAATAAGTCAGTTCGACTCTGGAGTTAGCAAAAACACAGAGAAAAGAGAACTGAAGAGGTATTTTTCAGACTCTGTACTACTGCCAGCTGCAGGGGGAATGGGCTGCTTACTGTCTTCCCTATAAAGAATCCAATTATAGAAAATGTCCATCAGTGACATCTAGCTTAAAACAATTCAATGTTGTTCCAGCTGAATTGAGTCACCACAGCAGCAAAAGAGCTTGCTTACAACTCTTAGGATTGCTGAATGGATGGGTTTTATTTTGCTTCTTTAATCAGCATGCAGATATATAGGACATCTGGAGCTTCCCTCCCACCCTTCAACAGAAGTGCAGAAAGCAAGAATGTCTCCCTTTCTATTATTCAAACCCAGGACTACACTAGTATTTAGCACTGCCATTCTAAACCTAAGCTTACACTCTTTCAGGCCAAAATAAGGAGCCTGCTCCATTCTTTTTATTGGGTGGTAAATAATTTTTTCTCAAGTCCCTAGAACTAGCAGCATGTTATCTTCCCTAAAGCTTCTAGCAAGAAGCTTCATGTTATACTGCTTAGCCAATTGTGCCTGCTTCTCAAGAAAGATGTGAAGAGCCGGGGGAAGGTGTGGGGAACAAAAAGCTCCCAAAGAGTCACAGGCGGACTCTGCCTCATATCAGACTTCTAAGATTTTACCTGAAGACAAAACATTGGAGAGGAACTGATAAATAGAAGCCTGCACCATGACTTGTGATCTTGACATGACAGGTACCCTCAGGGTAGTAACTTGGCAAAAAACCCCTAGTCTCAGAGTTCAAGTGTTTGAGGCACAAAACATATTCACAACAGACACATATAAACAAGCAGTCAAATCACCAGAGAAAGTCTCCAAACTAGTACTAAGGGAAATAAAATCCATGCAATTGACCTCCCCACCTGCGAGAGGGTGAGAAATTATGTTTGTGAGTGGTTGACTTGGCTGGTGCTCGAGAGGTTTGTCTTCTCCTTGCAGCAGGTGGTGAATACTCCCTGGAAGGGGAAGAATTACTGCCAGAATGATCTACAGGACTAGGAGAACGCTTCTGTCTACGGGAGCTTTCAGAGGGATCCCTGGGAAACATAAACAGCAGCTTGTTTAACAGGTGTAATATGGCATTAGTACATTTCTGAGAAACTACAAACACCTCCAAGACAGAATCCGTGATTACAATATCGAGAACTATTTTATGGAATCATTTGTTCCACCTGTAATTTCACATATGAAATTAACTTAAGCTAGCAAAAGTAAAGAAAGCAAAATAGGCACTAAATTTCTTGCTATACTGGACTGTGAAATACAAAACTAGAATATGGTAAACCCAAAAATATTTTCTTGTAATTTTGCCTAATATTTCACATGACAATGAAACAGAACTATCAGTGGAGAAATATATTGCTACCTTATTTAAAAATTTCTGTAATATCGAAACTTTGAGAAGCCTCAAGCTCACTCACATTTTTAAAGGCTAATCCCAGCTGTAAATGAAAGCAATCTGTCAGAACCTTCAAATATTTCACTTACTGTACCTCAGGCAGATTCGACATTACTACTTCATTTTTATTATGTAGGGAAAAAAAAGAAAAGACAAAAATCCAGCACTGAAATAAAAAGCTGTAGTCACCACAGCAATACCTGATTACAGTAGTGACAAGCACTGTCCCAATCCTAGAATGTTCTTTTCTACTGCTTGCAACTTCCTTCCAGTAACAGTGTGCAAGCATGAGGGAAATAATATACTTTATAGTAAGTATTGTATAATTTATTTAATTAATTAAAAATACACCATTCACTGTTCTTCTACTCCTTAGGCTTTGCTATGTCAGTTACAAAGTAAGGCTTACAAATATGTATCCTATTTTCATCAAGAAAACACAAGACTTTAAAATGCAGATTATCTTTCAACTTAAATGGATGCTTATGCTTCAGAAAATTATATGAATAGTCCTAGCAGTCCACCATTTTTCTTAATACATAAATATGTATATATGCAAAAGGGAAGCAATTCTAAAATCCCAGTAGTCTTTGACTACTTCAGGAACTTTAACCTACTGAAGATTAGAGAGAGTTTAAATACACCACTGCCAACTTATAAAGATAATAGTCCTCTAAGACTTCAGAAAAGCAGGCAATCAGACAGGTGGATGGCTCTGACAAAGATTTTGGCAAATGACCTGCTCCACTGGTGAAGGTCCAACTTCTTGAGAAGTAATGAGTACTAAAGAGTAACTAAAATGTTGTTGGCAAAGCAGGTATAACTACCCTACTATTCAGTGTTCTTTTAAAGATAGCTTTAAAAGCAAGGTCTTTGTTACAATTAAAAGTTATTAATACTACACAACTTACCTCTGCTTCTCCTTTTTCTCCTTGTGCCTTTCGAAGTCACGCCCTCTCTCTTTCATCTCCCTTGCCTTTTCTTCTGAACGTTCTTTTGCTTTATGTTTTTCTTTGTGTTTTTTCCCTAGGGGAGTTTCCTCTTGTACTGGAGGAGGAGGGCTAGGGGTACGAGGACCTTTCTTTTTACTCTGGTTACTTTTAGAACTCCTAGAGATAAATTAAAAGGGTGCAGGGGTGTTAAAAAATAAAGAACTGACAACTATTTCAAATAATGATTTCTCAGATGTTGGCAGGAAAGTTATAAAAGGCCTTGAAGCTTTTGGATAGGATTCACCAACTCCATTAGCAAGCAGTGTTCAATAGCTGTGTTTGACTGAAGAGTGAATAGCGATGGTAAAAATTTATGTTGACCTTTTCCATTTATAATCTTTATTTCTGAAGCAAGTGAACAAAAATAGGAATTGCTGAATTGCTTCCATTCAGATAGAACCAGTTTTCAAAGACAAAATACCCTTACAAGGACTGCACACATTAGAGAACAAAAACTCTATAGAATACCTTGTCTGTTTTGTCTCCCATTTCTGCAATGCAATACCCCAATCATATAATATGTGTTTATGTTCTTCAAGTAATTCTGTATTCAATTTAATGTCAACACAGGCTAAAGCATCCAAATATTTTTGAATATGCATCTCAGAATACGAAATAGTGTATATTTTTCATATAATCTACCCCTAAGATCAACCCTATCAACTAGGTTTCACTGCATACTGAATGTCAGTACCATACCACCACATGTTGTTACATTCCTGTGGCAGAAATAAAATTGTTTTGTTCCTATTTTAAAGGGAATTTTTGCTTAGCAAATGCAGACATGTCTGGTAATTCCTTTCCTATCTAAAAGCTGCAAACAGTGATTCAAAATGTACTGTGGCCTTCCTAAGTAAGAACTTAAAAACAGGTTTTGGAGACTGATTTTGGCAGCACGGCACTCAAAAAAATCCTGTGATTTTTACATATCTTATCCTTAATTTTTCCCTCCCCCACACACCCATCACTTCTTATCCCCTCCTGAATTGTGGGAAATTCCCTGCCTTGAAAGTCAAACATTATTTAAACGTGATATATGTGATACCCACAAAATGTGCAGCTGCTCAGATTTTAAACATTTCACTTCAGTGTAGAAAGGCTGCACCATTTCATATGAAAGTGCTTCCCACTTTTTAATGGTTTATATTCATGCCCTCCATCACCTCCCAGAGACTCTAGACATTCAAAAAGAAAAAATCTGCTTGTAAACCAGAAAATTATTCAACTGGCAAGGATATCCATGTAATAATTTTCTGCATAAGATGATTCACAATACAAAATTTAGAGATCTTCCCCTAAGTTATATAATCAAGGGCACTGAAAGCAAGGAAAATGGAAAACATACTAATTATGAAAATCCTGGTAATAATTATCAGTGTGGTTCTCTGTTCTCAATATCTTGCAAGATGTATCTACATACTGACCTCTGCTGATCCAAAAGTGGTGAAGATACAGTAGATGCTTTCTTCTCTTTCTTACTAGTTGAAGAGGATGATTTGGGACTGGATCTTCGTTTTGGAGATTTGCTAGACTTTCGTGGTGATGGTGATAATTTAGATCTAACCACCTCTGGAGAAATCTTGAGGAAAAGAATTTAATTAACCAATAAGATATCGATGCTCCAAAGTGTAACTGTATGTCGATATATGAGTCAAATATATAAATACAGTAACAGTCTATTTCTAAGATCTTAACCATGCACACCTCTACCTCAAATAAACTATCCACACTGTTTGCAAAAAACCTCGTAAAAGAAAGACAACAGATAAAGTGCGGAGAAAGAGAAGGTGATGCACTCTGCAATAGATTAAAAAACTGTAACTAAAAGTTTAAAATCAGTACTCTAACAAGAAACACTCAAATTTGCCTGAAAAAGAAAAGACACCCTTGAAGGTTTTTTTTTAATCTTTCCCAAAATTTTACAGTTTCTAACACTTGCAGCTTTGTCTCTGTCACTCTATTTTACCCTGTTACTACAAGGCATGCTGGAAAGAGAGACTGCCAAATGTCTTGTGTTTTCTTTTACATGTCTTCTCTGTTTAAGGTCTTACTAGTTTTGTACCATTAACATGTATTAAATCCTATGTGTTTTTTAACAGCTGACTTCACAAAGGAGAAGACATGGTTATTGTGCTGGATGATTGACTGGATACTCACTACTAATACCTAAGTCACATACTAATTACATAGGTGCCAGTTTATTCACTGTTATGTAACACAACAGTGCATTTGTAGCCCGGGAAGCTTAAGTCTTCAGGAAACAGTTAGAAGCCTAGGAAGTGGCTGATGACTTGACCTTTTTATTTCACATTAACATAATACAAACCTCTTTTTTAATTACTATTTCCTCCCGTTTCTCCATGTTTTCTTGTTCCAATTTCATGAGTTCTCTCTGAATCTTTTGGCGCTTCATTTCCAAAGACAGCTCGTGATCATAATCATAATTAACATCGCCATTATCAGAGTCTTTGTTTAAAAAAAAAAAAAAGAAAAAGTAAACAGATTATCAAACAATTTCATTTGAAATAATTAAAAATAGTATTTAGCATACTGGATGCCAAGCATAAATATTTCCATGACTTTTAAGCACTGCACAAATGGATCAATTGAGTAAAGTCAAATCTCTTCTCCAATTATGTGTGCAAACCTGAAATAACTTGAGTTAGTTCCATAAAACCCGCAGTTGAACTCTTAAACTTCATTAAAAAAAGCACTCCAACTTCCTTCACGGATGTTCATCCATTACGAGGCTGATAGCAAGGAAAACAATAGTAAAGCACTTATTTATATTTAAATTACAAAAAACTCTAACGGTGTGTCTTCACAAAGACAAAAAATATGTAGCACACTACTTAACTGGGAAATCTTACAAGAAAGAGATATAAATATCGATGCATGATACTAGAGGGTTTAATACAGTATCTTCAAATCAACTGATACACTTATTTAATTACATCACACACTAATTTTAAAATAAGTTTTGTATGAACTCTCATCAGATAAACACACACTTAAGAAGTTTGTATCTGGTTTTAAAACATTATCACTGTTTGGTTTTCATATTTAAAAAAAAAAAATCTCATTTTTTTCATTAAGTTGTGGCCGGTTAATATCATATGCTTTCAACACTGCAACTGAAATCTTATTGAAAATTGAGTTTTCTTACTCTGCTGACATTTCTAGTTCTGGCTATTTAAGTCTAATGTTCAAAAAGCACCTAGGGAAAATGTGTCAAAAAAATGACTTCACTAGAAAGTTATTAGCTTTCACTCCTTTCCTTCACACAGGAACTATACAAAATGTTTTGCAGTAACTAAACTCAGTCTACAAATTACCTCCATGTGACATGAATTAATGGGAACAGTTTAGAGAAAAGTGCAGTTCCTAACAGCATAGGTTCTTTCCTAGTCCATCTGTCTTCTTACATAGCACTCATTAGAACTTTAAAGACAGTAATTCTACTTCATCCATATACCAGTGGCTGATCACTACTTTGAAAAAAAAGCTTTATTCTCAAGCTGAAAGTCTCAGTGCCTAAGACTTAAGACATTCACACTATATGTTTATACAGAACTTGTTGTTTTTATGTTCCAAACTTTTTTGACTTAGATTTTATTTCCATGGAAATATGTACTAAATCAATTTTTGTTAAATCATGTAAAAAAAAAAATTTACAAAGGAGTGAAGATTTATTATGGCTACTCTTCCATTCAAGTATTGTGCTCAAGACACAGCAAGCAGTATTGGAACACTTACAGCAAAGAGTATTGAAAAGCTACCTAGTTAATGAAATTTACAGGGAGCTCCATCCTACAACTTGCAGTATACTTTATTGCAAATACATTCATTATATCTGAATTACCTCGGAAGGGACCAGAACTGCCATCTTTTCTTGCAATATTGTAACTACTTCTGAAACACTGACACAAAACTACAGCAACACAATTTATTAGAAGCTTCTGTAACTTCACTTTGAGGTGAACTTGGATTCAAATGAAACTTTGGAAAGAAGAAAACTGCTGACACAGTAAAGGGAGGAGTATTATCAACAAGGACCATGAAATCACCTTGTAAGTATTAAAATGAAAAGCAAAACTCCACCAACCCATACAAAAGTGACCACAGAAGGTAATGCAAGACCTTAGCATTTTTCAAGTATTTTCAGCATATAAATAGGTCAACTGCTACCTTCAACTATTGTTATTCTAATGGAGCCCTTGTTAATGAGACAGCTCACACCATTACAAATTATGCAAAAAAACCTGCTAACTTCTGAATTCAAAAGAGTTACACTCTCCCATCAGACTGACCAGTTCCAAAATTACTTCCAGTGTATCCTCAATTCAACTACTGATCTAAATGTGAAAGATTCAGTCAAGGAGAACCTTTTTTTTTTTTTTTTGTCTGAGGAGTCAAAATAGCAAAATAAAAAAACAAAGACAAAAAAACAAAAACGTGTTTTTTAAGTAAGGTGGTTTAACTACTGTAGCAGTTCAACTCAGGTAACTTCTTTGCTCTCCTCCAAAAACAATTAAATTAATAATTAATGGCTGCTGCATGAAAGCATTCTGCTTAGAAACCAAATTTTTAAGCACTTTACATATAGCACAGTAATCTCACAATTCTTTGAAGTGCTGACAGTTATTTTCATTATACTTACCTTCTCTATTTGTTTCCCAATCCCCATTTTCCTCTTCGCTTTCTGGCGTTCGCTCCTTTGTAATTTTGATATCCTCCTTTTCTCTATGTCTTCCTCGTGAAGACTCTTTCTATAAAGGGAAAAATGCTACATTAGAGTAAACAACTTTACTCTAAACGAAGCCTGAAGAAGCAGATGTATTTTACATGGTATTTTGGCTGTTTCTTTTTCTTACTACAAAAGGCATTTTCCCCTTTTGCCTGTTGAACAAATACCTTCTTAAACAAGCAAAGACTCCACAGGCAACACGTTCTAATGTGATTTCATATAATCAGTATGCAAACAGCAGATGGGGAGAAGAGAAGAAAGTATTCATAAAATAAGAAGGTTTAAAGGCAGGGCAAGAGTTGAGCACGTATCAGAGAATAAGGTTTAAAATAGGCACTGAAAGAACAGATTAAGTTCTTACAACCAGAAGTTTAACGAACATTTAAAGAGTGTAATTTTAACAGCTTGAGCAAGAGTTCTCAGCTGTAAATAAGAGTATTTATATGCAAGGCAGATGAGCCTCAGAAGTGGAACCATTTAACTCTCCAAAGGATAAAGAATGTGGGGGGGAAGAGACAATGAAATAAGAAAAAACTGAAAGCCTTGGCAGGCATAAGGGGAAAAAATGTCTAAAGCAACACATTAGAATCAAGTTTTTTGACAACTTTGTGTTTGACTTTCACTGTCCCTAAGACAAATCTAACTAATGCAGTAGCACCCATTTTCTATGTGGCAGATGGTCCAGCGGACATCTAAGAAAGCCACAGACTATCCTTACAGGAAAAAAGAATTAAAAAAGTCAACTGATGCTGTGCTGCTCTTGTCCCCCTGCTAAATTCCAGTAATAAAGCTGCAGTGTTGCATCACTGCATCTGCTGAAGTGACATTCTCTAAATAATCTACCTGGGCTCAAGCAGAACAGAGGAAAAAGTTTCTTTGCTACTAGCAAAAAAAAAAAAAACAAACCAACATTCAAGCTTAGAAGTATCTCAGGTTAATTTATTAAGTAGGAAACCAGAAGGAGCAAATAATGAAAGTCTGCCCTATATCCCTTTTGTTCTCACCTTCTATAGTGCCTTCTCTGTTTTGGGGGAATTCTTCCATGTTGATATGTGGGAACCTTTGGTTTTATGCCAAGAAAATGAGATTCACTAGCTATTCCTTACTGGGACTTAGATCTTAATTTAAAATCTTAGCATCACCTTAGAAACACAGGAAGGAAATAACATTGTGGGTAGTCACTCTAAAATGAGTAAAATTCAACTATTCCTTTTTATTCACTAACTGTTTAAATCTTATCTCTAGTTTAATGACGTAAATGATCACAGAACAAATACTGCATTTATTTTACCTACAGAACTAAACCGGATGCTTCAATGCAGTTATCCTTGAGCCTTTTGACGCATTCAATATATCACATTCAAAGCCTTAGAAAGATTGGAAAAAACTGAACATTCGCTACATAACACAACGGAAGATCACACTGAAAAACTAATTTGTGCCATGTTTAATTTCAAGCAGCTTGTAGAATAAGAAAAAAAAATTATTTTTCTCCATTTCATGACAGGATCTCTAAATGATGCAGAAGATCATAACCAATCAAGTCAAGTTGGTTGCTGACATCAACTGCAGACAAGTCTACATCCACTAAGTCATCATCACAACACGTACTAAAGGCATTTCAGTGTAAGAGCAAGTGCTGTACTATGCTCCAAAGCAAATTATTTCAAAAGAAAAATGACTCTGATGAGACCTGAAAATCTGTAAGTATATCAGCAAGCCTCTGCTGCAGCCATTCTTTTTTTTCTTAAGACTATTCTTTTTTTTTTCTAGCCCACCCTCCATGAAGGCTGCATCTGTTCTAATAAATTGTGTACTTCTATACATTTCAACAAATTTCTACAACTTTAACTAACAAAACTATAATTTCCTACATACAAATACTAGTTTCTATTAATTCAACACTACTTGCTACTAGCAAACTGAAATATGAATGTTAGGACAACATCTCCACACGGATTTAAAAAAACTTCTCAGGGCCAACTCATCAAATAACTTGTCAACAAAGAACATGCAGTAAGTCAGATGCTTCAAGACCAATTTAATAACCCATGTTAAAAATACTACACAACCTGCATGTATCAGGCCTATCTCTTCAAACTTACAACCCGATATAAGCATCTTGAAACAGCCTGTATTTTCTCCTTTCAGTGGAAAGATTCAGTAGTGGCACAATCATATTTCTACAGAAGAACTGAGAATAAAAACAGCTATGAAACTGAATTATGGAATATAGGGGAAGGGAATAGGTAATTTTTATGCAAGTATGGTATTTTACACTAACTGCTATTTAGTTGTCAGGAAAAAGGGTTCTGGCAACATTGCATCTTGAAAAACAAATTTCAGTTCAGAAATCAAGTATATTTTTCCTAGGGGATGCAAACCAAGCATTTAAGTTATGATGGTTTAGAATATATTCTTAAAATTTTCTCACTGAAAAGTCTTCAACATATTCCTTTTATTTTACTTGTTATACCTATAACACATCAATTCCCTCATAATATGGGAATTAAAAATTTCCTTCATATCCTTGTAGACCTTCTTGTATTTTACATGTTTTTTCTCTCCCTTAACAAGCCAACTTAAGCTCCCAAAAGCATGTCATTCACTGGTATTTGAAGATGTTGTACCCACTTCAGCCATCCTTGTACACTATTTCTCTGCAGACTCTGAAAAAATGCCACTTACTAGTCAAGAAACATAAAACTTTCATAAAATGTAATTATTTACTAAAAAAATACATTGTAAATTGTCCAAAGAGAAAATAACTTAGTAGACTTTGTCTATGCTGTTTTCAGTATGTGTTCCCAGCTAAACTATTTACATGTGTTAGATAGATGATTGCAGTTTAATGTTGTTCAGGAGATGTTCAGGAGAAATGCCACATAAGAAAGGGGAAAAAAAATATGAGATTATGGCTGACTTCTGCGAGATTTTATTTTAATTTAATGTCTACTTAACTTGAAGTTCCATACCCCATGTGATCAGCACTCTACAGCAATGACTTGATGTCTACTTAAATAAATGTTCTCACTACTGCCAGAAAAGCCTGGCAAAGCACACAAGGACTCATCCAGTCTGTGAAACGTTTTTATAGCCAAGAACTGTTACTTGGTCAACACCGATGGAGAGAATACAAGAGTCTTACAACTGACAACTTTTACATGGCAGAAACTTCGGTTTCAGCCATATCAGCACATGTACATGCAGCAGCAAAATAATTCAAAAGCACAGATTCCTCCAAATCTAGAGTAAGCTACATGTATTACAGCCAGAATGGTTTGGGCAAACACAGTACTATTTTGCTCTAGGTAGAATACCTTTATAGTGTTAACTACTACCATGCTACGGAAGCATGTAAGAAAGTGAATCAGAAGTTCCCTTGACACGAACAGGTACTGTTTCCATTTCAGAGACGGAAGACAAAGGTGACTTCCATTTCCAGTGGAAACAGTCAAAAGCCACAGCGACAAAAAGCACAGATATGAAACAAGTCATACGCAATCCTTATAAAAACCTTTCCTAAACGTACATTAAGGTCCTCCCACTGTTTCTCCCAAATCACACATATGTTCCAGGTTAAGAGTTTAAGTAATACTTCATACACACCAGTGTAACTGACTTCTCACAATATAGAGAAAAATTCAATATAAAAATTTCCAACTAAATACATTAATAGCAGGAACCTCATCTAATTATTTGTACAATAGTTGATACACTAACATACAGTGCTGAAATAATTCTGAATGCAAATCGGAGAAACACAGACACAACTGAGTTCAATGTAAGTATCCACATAACACAGAGTATTTTCTCTGAAAATAATAGTACAAAGCATGTCGAAATAATAAGGGGTGTAGTCTGTAAGCTGTCCATATAGGAAGTTTCTTCCTAAATATATACAAACTGTACTAGTTATGCCTCCAAAGAATGAGAAATCTCTTCTAAAAAGGTTTTATACTAGTTATAATGTCTTAACTTTTTGTGGAACCTATCCAGGTTTTTAACTGTATCTTCTGGCAAATTGTCATGTATAAGGTGAATAGCATTTCCCCTTGCCACTTTCAAATTTGCCATCCTCTCTACTTGGATAAAGTATGAATATGACGCATCTAACTTACAATCTCCCAAACATACATTATATGCATTCATCCCATGTTCTTTCTTCTCTTCAGTTTATTTCTCACCTCCTTGCCCACTTCAAAAACACCTTTGACTGTAAGTATTTTCTTGCATACAGATGATGACAACCAAACAGCATTTCAAATAAAACTGGACCACAAACTTCTACAGAGCAATATTAATCAATTTCTACTCCATTTTTATATACCTGAGTGTTTGCTTCTGCAACTGTGACTTCACTTTAAACAGATGGTTTCATTGAGCTGTCCACAATAACTTATTTTTGTACTGCATAGTTTCAGTTACTTAAAAAAATTAATTCATAATTTTTTAAAAATATTTTCTTCATTGCGCATTACTTTGCACTTGACAACATCAAGTTTCATCTGCCATTGTACTGCAAAAAACTATCTTCCCAAACCCACATAGCACTCCTCATACTTCGGTAACCTCAGCTACTGTTTTCATATCTTATGCAAAGTTCAACATTTGAGATGTCCAACATTTTTTCTACACTCTTTAAAGTTATAGCTCTTTAGATGAAGCACCATAGCACAATTGTACCTGAATTTCAAATTAATCTAAAATTTTCTTTTTAGCTAGCTTCTAAACCTGACAATACTATGTTTGGTATTCTTTGACTACCTATACATATGCCCATGCCTCAAACGCCTTGTTTGAAAAGAAGCTATTTAAGGTTTCACCTGTGTCAGACAGTTCTCTCTTAACTACTGATTTTCAAAGTTTCAGGATAGTAGTCTGGTGAAGCACAAATTTTGTCTGCAGGAACAGTGCTGCTCTTTTTTTTTTTCTCTCTCCTTTTTAATCCACAATTATGAAAACTCTAAAAATGGAACAAACTACCTTTCATTATTTCCAAGTTTTCTTATCCAGCTCCTCTGTTATCCCAAAAGCTTTAATAAGAAGTGAAAACAACACATATTACATCTCCACCATAACAGTAGCTCTAACGATGGAGCAAGATTTTTGTTCGCAGTTCAGTCACTTGAGTCTTCTGTTCTTTTAGATCTCTTGGTTCTTTGCAAAGCAACTCTTGACGATTGTCCCTTTTTATCTATTTGTTCCAGAATATTTTCTTTCGATATCCTGTATTTTGAGACTTGCCTCCATCTAACAATACAAAAGCTCAGTGTTTTCGTCAGCCTTCTGTTTTATGAGATTGAAACAGACTACTTCTCACTCTGCAGTGTGTTTAAACGGTAAATAATTCTTCGGTGCTTTAATAGACCCACTAATTCTCCAGTTCCTTTAGATGCTCGCTTCCAGTTCACTTTTACTTGGGGCTTAGTTGTTTAGAATATTTTATTATTACATTAATAGAACACTATAAAAAGCAACGTTAACTAACCAAAAGCAAGAATTACATCAAAATTAGAGTTGCACCAGGACAGAAGTTACAGCAAATTTTTAATAACGGTTGGAAAAAAACAATTTTCCCACTAACCATGTACTCAATAACTGAACAGTTTATTCAAACTATTAGAAAATAAAAGAAACACACTTGGGAAAAAAGATTGAAAGCTTACACAAATTAACAGCAACTGAAAACATGATTGGAAGGTAAGCCATTCTGTTAATTTAATGATAGCAGCTGCTGTTGATTTATTTACAGCTGACATAAAAAAATTCATTTTACACAGCAAGTAGGAACAGACCAAGAGGAAATGATAGAATACTGTTAATACCCGCAGAAGTAAAACTGAGTTTTCACAAATAAAACTTTTTAATACTTATTCATCTCAAGACGGTCTTAAACACGATGCAGGAATACAGTGGTGCTACTGCTACACAGATACAGTGTCACACTACCAACTCTACCCCTATTTGTTTGTAACATCAGAAACAGACAACGCAACTTAAAAATAATGAAGTTCTGATATTTGAGGGGCATACGGTTGCACAAAGATGATTACAAAATGAGAATAATAATGAACGAATTTTTTGCAAAATCCAAAGGTGAGCAGTTGGGAAGCCTGATGAGTACATGAGGAGGAAGGCAAAATGAACCAGCACCACAGCAACCACATGGTCTCATCAAAAGCAAATTTGAGATGAATAATTTAAGTCAGGATGCATGTAAACATTGGATATGAATGTGTTGGGGACAAAAACAGTAGACCCCTGGAACAATGGTTAATACACCTTCTTGGTAATAATCAATGTTATTAAATATTTGTTTTTTATAACATATTTTAATCTGTGGGATTTATAAAATCTTTGGGAACCAGAAGATCAGAAATCGCTATAGAATTGCAAAATAATACAATGGTTAAGACATTTCATAACAAAGTATGCGATATGCTATGTACAAAATGAGCAGTTCATTAAAACATTTTAAATATTACAAGTCACCATGATAACGTTTCTGGGACACACTGCCTGATTGCTACTGAGGGATTCTGGAGTTCTGCAACCTCCACTCTTACCCTAACAGGAGAGGATGATTCCTCTGTACTTCGTTTCTGTGGCTCTGCCTCAACATCTTGACGTTTGTTCTTCATTCTTTCCCGAAGATCTCCAGTGGGTCTTTCTGGTGACCTGTATAATACAGAAACATAATATAACCAGTTCTATGGGACTATGTTTAAAGGAATACGATTTGTCTTTTAATTATTATTTTTATTAGTATATACAGAAATATCTAAACCTCCTGCGCTGAGGTAAAGTGGATGTGTAAGAAAATACTCTGTTCTAATGGGTTTAAACACTCTAAAACAAACCCACCTCAGAACCTCAAGGAAGATTTGACTATAAGAAGAAAAATTACTTGTATATATGGCATGACTCAATTACTACTCTAGATCAGTTCAGGTGATCCTATCCAGAACAAGTAATCTTTTTCTGGACATTGTGCAAATGTGTTTCACAATCACTCCTAGCAAATACTTCAGGATTTCTCTTCTCCATATCTTGCACCAATTTTGATAAGTATTATATATTATGTATGTTTTAAAAATATGTATTTTTTTAAACCACAATTAATGAAGAGTCAAACTACTGTAGACTAGCAATGACAGTCACAGAGAAGCACAACTCTGAATGCAAATAAAGTCTGCAAGTGGAGATAACATGACCCAGTCATCATCCTCCCATGGCCTCAGTGAGGCTGCCACACAGAAAAACATTGTTGCAAGACCATAAACCAGAAATTCACTCTTGGAGGCCTCCTCCATTATCTTTCAGTAAAATAATTATTTCATTATTTAATTACAAAATAGTGGATGAACTCTACTAGTCATGCAACTTAAGGGTATATTTTCCGTAAAAGATATTACCATGACATGGGATGGGAGGAGGAACATTCTACATTACTTTAATTTTGCCACCTCTTAGTATGGATTCACGAGTTCATATATTCCTTATGGATTAAAAGAGAACAACCCTTGCATTGGTGAGGCACTGTCACGGGTTGCCCAGAGAAGCTGTGGATGTCCCATCCCTGGTAGGGTTCAAGGCCAGGTTTGGTGGGGCTTTGAGCAAGCTGGTCTATTGGAAGGTGTCCCTGCCCATTGCAGGGGGTTGGAACTAGACAATCTTTAAGATCCCTTCCAACCCAAACCATTCTATGACTCTATGATTCAAACAAGTTCCTAAGCTAATGGGATGAAGGAACCGTTGTAGATGACCTTTCAGTTCAAGAAAACATATTTTCTCTTCATATACTTCTGGCTTGATACTGAGTTTACTACTTCTGTGATGGTTGTTAGCTGTAATTATAAATTCTTCCGTGAAATGGCTGCATGAAAGTACTAGATCTGTGCCCATCAGTTTACACTAAAGAATCATAAAAAGATACTGACACTGTCTTATTTGATTAGAAGAGTTTTATGTAATACATGAATAACAGAATTTCCATTTCTTTTGTTTTTCAGACTGAATCAGTTTCCACTTAGAAAGGTGTTTCTCCCACTCTTCCTCTGTCACATATATGAAGGGTAAACTTTCTTTCACAGCATGCATACAAAAATCTAAATTAATATAATTTAATTTTACACCTGCACATATTTGAAAAACAGTATTTTTTTTCATTTCTTCCTCAGCACTGTTATCTGTATTTAATTATTTAAACTGCATCATAAGGTTATCTGCATGAAGACCTACCCAAAAAAAAAAAAAAAAAAGACCAGTGACTGCTCTCGTTTTAAATGCATTTAATTCTCCATGAAGTTGTAAATACAGGTTAACGCAGATCAGAGGTAATGTACAAAACAGTAGAGCCCTGCTTCTTTCATCACTAAGGATCAAATAATATCCAGCATACAAATATAAACAATTTATCTTCTTTGCATGCATGACTATATAATCATTAAAGTGTCTCACTTTAGTAAAGGTTATGATTCAAAGTATTTTTGGCCTTCCCCCCATATTAGAAAGATAATTCCTTTCCATTACCAAAACCCTCTGAGGCATTCCAACCATCAGCTACCTCAACAAATAAACTGTCTTTCAACATTAAAGTGCAATTCAATGCCTTAATTTTTAATAATATTTAAGCTATGGTACAAAGGATTTGCATTAGTGAAACTAAAAATTAAGTTCAAAGGCAGAAAGATTATCAATAATGTACTAGTAATATTGTTCCTCAAGAGCAACACTTTCAGGAAAAATCCCAGTAGCTGAAGTAGAAAGCAAGAGACACTTTGTAGAGTGACATATGATATTTTATTGCCTTTTTTTTTTTTTTAAGTTATAGGTTGGAGCAAAAAATCCAAACCACTTCACCCTGAATTAATAAATTTTTTTCTTCCCTCCCATACTGAAAAAAGGTGTTTTGCTAAAATATCATTGCATTATATTTAAATACTAAAGAAGTTACCTAAAAACCCACAGAAATCTAAAAGGCTAGATTCTATGTTCAGGGCTGGGGTTTGTTGGTCTTCTTTTTGTTTGGTTTTTCTATTACTGGGTCAGCTTTAGGAGAATACCAATACAAAGTTATTGCAACCATCTTATCTCTCCTTCCCCCAAAACGTCATAACCCTACAAAACTTTTAATAAAATAAGACAAAGTTTGCCAATTTTAAGAAATAATTACTCAGGAAGCCGAGAATGTTTTCAGATGCCTTGGCTTAATGCACAGAAAAACAAGCTGGTCTATTAGCTGATTTTTCTTTTATGCGTACCACAGTTTTGATTTTTTACACAACAGTTTCTTTTCTACGTAACTTTCTGCCAGCTCCCTTCAAAAGGGATCTTTGGTTATTCCAGGTTATATTCTCTGCTGAGTTTCAACAGATCATGATAATTAACGTCTGCAGTTTAAGATGATGTGGCTAGACTGCAGCTGGCAGAACCTTTCACAAACTTTTCACACAAAAGACATTATACAATTTCTCTTTAATGACCTAGTATTTCGTGCTGGGTCCATCTTTCAAATAAGGCCTAAAATGCAGAATTTCCTCATTTCAAATTTTAAGCAGTGCAATCAAATGACTTTAAACAACATTACTTCCTGCAACAGTTCAGTTCTCCATGTTCAACAGCATTTAGGAAATGCACATTCATAACTATGCCTCCATTGCTTCTGTACCTCTTACAGTGTCAGAAACAATTACCCAGCAATAGGCACCCTTTGCAACACACCCACCTGTGAGCATCCATGTGTATGTATGTGACAGCACACATGTGTGTACAGGCAGATGACAATTACTGGTGTACCATTTACATATTATAAATGCTCATGAAACATTGTCCCATTTTCCAGTTTCCCATAGTACAATATTTGAACCATGCAAAATCCATAAATTCTTTCCTATTATTACTGCTGGTTTGGTTTTTAAACACAGCATGATGATCCTGAATAAAGATGATCAGACTATGAAAGGGACCCTGTGCTGGTACAGATCCTGACAATAGCATAAAGCAACCAGCAAGTAAGCTGGCAAGCAACTAACAATCTACAAGTGCAACAAGAGAGCAAAATTCCTTGTGGAACAGCATGTTTATGCACAGCTCTTTCCCTGTTAACTTCTCCTTACTTCAGGTGCCTAGACTGGCAGGTCTATTACTGAATTCTTAATATTATCATCGGCTAAGCTTTATATATAGGTTTTATTTTTATAGTAAGATTAAAATTCATGCTGCAAGAATTCAGCAGCAATAATGCTGAAAGAATCTTTGCCACACTGTAAAGTCAAGTTTTCCTACTGCCGAGTGATGTTCTGAACTATGGGACGCATTATGGTCAGATAAAACCATTAACAACGAGACTTATTGCAGACAGGTATGAAACAGAAGGAATGATAGAGAGAGGCAGCAAGACATGCTTTGTCCTACCAAACTGCAGAGACTTCCCCGGCAGGCCTGGCTAAACACATGTAGACATGCTGCCACTACATTATCCCAGATACTTGAACAAGAGTATTGCTTTAACTGAACTGATGAGGAAGCAGCATTAGCTCAGCTTGCGTGAAGCCAGTAAATTGCATTCAAAATGCCTGGATAACATTTGTGAAAAATCTCTCTAATGTTAAATGGCATGAAAATGCCAACATTTTTTATGTACATAAACCAGCTTTTTCTATGCCTGGCCAAGAGCTATCAGTAGAAACTTCTGAAGACAAGCAGGTTTCTTTCATTTGTCTGGTTTGGGGGGTGTGTAGGGATGGTGGGCTTCCTTCTCCTTTTTACTTTTAAGAACACCTTTATTAAATGTTGAATGTGTCAGGCAAATAAGCAGGAGGATTTGTCCTCTGACTTTTTCATACAGTCCTACTAAAAAAAGTCAGCAGTAAAAAGAAGCAAATCAATATTATTCTTAAATGTCAGTAGTGAAGCAGAAACACAGTTTTACTCATTAAAAGAAATGTCACCTTTCTTCAAATGACCAAGCAGAACTATGCACTGGGTGTTCCAAATGCTGAAAGCAAGGAGAAAGTGACATTCTATCAGTTTTAAAATTTAATCTCTACCAGCAAATCACTTACTTCATCCATTTGGAACATTCAGTACAGAACAGAGTAAAATCGTTTACACACCAAAAGAAATATTAAACTCAGTGATGTATTTTGTATCCCAGCATTACCACCTCAGAAGCAATGAAAGATCAAACAAGCAAAGTCAAGATCATTCTGAGATTATACCACAGGAATAGGAGAAAGAACCAGAAACAGAATCCTAAACTCATGTCAACCTTCCTGTTGTTGCTTTACGCTTTGATGCTTCAGTGTGCCCATCAATAACCTAGAGGTATCATTGACACTGGCATTATGAAGGACAGTTCTTTGTAAAATATGAAGCTTTCAAGCAAAGAGGTACTATGCTAAAACCATAATAATTTTTGTCCTTTATAGCAAGAATATTACAAACTTACTGCCACATTCAGTTTCAGCTAAGCAACGTGGTGTTATGCCACATAAAGGACAGTTGGGGAAAAAATTTAAACTGTAGTAACATATGAAGAGCAGATAATAAAAAAAATATTCTCTTTTGAAAAGTGAAGTAACTTTTTGGATCTCCTTATATGACACAGGATATTTTTTCTATATCTGACAGATAAAGTCACAAAACTATGTTTGAAGAGAAGTGTTATCTCACAACAGGAGAGAAAGGATAGACACCTTATTCATCAAACAACATAGCAAAGGCAGAAGGCTGTAAGCATGCGTACTGCTTTAAGTAATTGCAAACCAGCATTTTAGAAAAGGACAGACAAGTATAACAGAAAGCTGCAGTGACGCTACGCCAAAACAAAAAGTATTAAGGTACTTGAACTTCCCATTTCAAGTAATATAAGTAGTTAATCTGCACTCAGTGGACTCCATTTTTTTAAAGCTATATACACACAAAAGTCCTGCACATTGCCAAATAAATTGCTTTGAGCAGTTTCACAAGGCAATTGGTTATTGATAAAACAGATTAGGCACACCACAGCATTTCACTTTAATAAAAAAAAAAAGAAAAGAAACAAAAGACAGTTGCAAAAGCTATTTTCCTACAGCATGTGAAGAATTCAAAGTGAGTTCTTGATTTACCTTCTATAACTGCTGCTATAGCCTTTACCTCGTGGTGAAGGGCCATGTACGAATCTACATGTGTTCCCATAGAGGCAGTTGCCAGTCTTCAGCCAGTTACGGCACTGTGTCTAAGAGACAGACATTACTGGGTGAATTTCACACTCGTTTCTGGAAATACCATTGGTGTGAGTGTGGCAGAACAAACAAATGACTCCACATTAACTCCCATTTATCTGTAATTTCTGTCCACCAGTAATATAACTCATTAGAAAAAATAATCAACAATGAGCATCAGGTCTGGCAAAGAAAAATTTAGGTTGGTGGAAATACTACTGATATGTACAATACTACTGCTCCTCTCCAGAAGCTGGGACAACACATGTTATTTGAAAATTCTAGTATTAGTATGTTGAACATCCATGCGTTAAGGAGTTCTTTTCACCTTTACTTTACATCAGTGACATCTGAGCATTTGGTACTTGTGAGCTACTCTTTCCCACCACACAAATCCTGAAAAAGAAGATGCTGGGGTGGGGAGGAAAAGAAGAACACTTTTACAACTCACCTCTGCAGTACTTCCAGTGCTGGGTCCAAGCCTTTCAAACACACTGGGTCTTCGGGATGTGCTATCAGATATGGTCTTGGTATTTTCCACTGTGACCTTCCTTCTAATTTTTGACATTTTGTACTACTTCAACCAAAAAAAAAAGCAAAACTGTAAAATCCTTCAGTTTGGGGCCATTGACACTGAACTCACATGAATAAAATAGTATGGATATACATTGTAAGAGTTGCTGCAGAGGTGATGAAGAAAGAAAAAGAAGTCATAAATGAGTGAAATGTATCTAATAACAAGGAATGCCTCTGATTTGAACAAGTCAGCTGAACACCAGTAATGATTATTTTTCATTTTATTTTATGATCTGATATGTATTCTTCATCTTTCCCTTGGGAAAGATCACAAGACACATTATGCATTTAGGCAGCAAACACCACATAGGACAGATGCTTTCTTTCATCATGTATTTTTTGGGGCATGAACTCAAGTGACTTAAAGTGAACAGAACCTTTAATGTTATTTCACCAACCTCTCAGAAACCAGTTCCAACCACTAAAAATGTCTACCATTTTTGAAACACATTTCCAAAAATTAGAGCTCCATTTTCCCTCCTTAGTTGTGTAAGACAACCTACTGAAAATCACCTTGATATTAAACACAGTCTGTGTTTGTTATTGGTTTGATTCCTACAACTATTTGGAACCACATGAGTTTAGGAAAAAAATAAAAAACTCCACAACAGTGATACACTTCTTAAGCTTTTCAAGAACTAGCTCCTTTTCATTAAGAGAAACAGATTTTAAAGGAAATACAGCATAACTTTGATAAACAAGAAGTCACAACTTATCTTACCTGAGAAAAGGAGTTATTTATAGAAAGGAAAACATATTTTAAAAAAAAAGGAATATACACATTTAGCACTAGAAACAGGTTGTATACAAAGGGCAGAATGGGCCCCAACATCTATTGTCCATTCTTTACATGCTACTTGATCTAAACAGAAATAAAATCAATTTGGGAACATCTGTCAGGTGCGAGACAATTTATATACAGCTCAGAAAACCACCTCTTTGTTGAACTGCAAAGTGCCATCACTCTCTTTAGTCAGCAGAGCATGATTAGCCAAACACTAATCTTCCTACCCTTCTGCTCCTATCCATGCGTCACTGCATTTAGAACACACGCACACTCTTAAGCTAATTTCTCATACGCTAATAGATTACAAATGTCAAAAAGTTCATACATAGAGTCAGAATAATATAAATTTAAACTAACATCCACCAGAGTTGACTAATACACATTTTTACCATCTGATCGGCAATATGTCCCCACAGTATTCAGATTGTAAGATTACATTTCACAGGAAAAAAATATTACAATGCATAAACATGGACACTTCATTATCTGAACCCTACAGTTCCTTCCATGACAATACTTCCTTAGGATTCTGACACCTGTGCACTTTCTACAAACAGAATGCTGTGCTGAAGCTCTTGCTAAGCACTTTAGCTCCTTTATAAACAACAGAAGAAAGCAAGCTTACACCATGAACTTGAGATTTCTCAGTAGAGCTCTACTCTACTTCTCCAAGCCTCTGATTATCTGAAGAATTTTATCTCATACGTAAGGTTCAGATAATCAAGACATTAACCAAGATGCTCAGGGAGAGTGAAAGTTAACCATATGGTGTATACCAAACATTAAAAACAATGGTTAACATCAATTAGTGGAAGCAGACAGTCAAACAGTAGAATTTGCCAGTAGTATGAAATTATTTGGGTTAGTAAAAACTGTGGAGAACAGAGATTTCCAGGAAGATCTGAGTTAGAGAATTGAGTAATACAACAGCAGATGAAATGCAAATAAATATAATGCAATGCACACAAGGAGAAATGATTTTATCTAAATATTTGATGAGATCAAATTAGTCCAGTCTTCTGAGAAAAATAATTAGGAGTCATTGTGGACAGCTCAATGTGCAGCAGTAGTTTTAAAGTCTGACAGGATAAACCATTAAAGTTAGAAAGCAAAACAACACCATGTCTCACCTAGCTGAGCACCTTTCCATTTCAGGATTCTCACTGAATGTCAGGAAAAAACCTACTAAATTTCTACAGTTTCACCCAGCCACACCCTTTAGTAGAGGATATAAAAATCAACTGACACATGCAAAAGCATTTTTAATAAGACAATCATATAACAACTACTGAATTTGGTTTAAATATTTACAGTTAAAAGAGCCATATCTGAAATAAAAAGTGTTAGAAAAATGACACTGGCAATGGCATAAGGAGAGCATTCAACACAAGAAGGACAGATGAGTGCATCTAATACATAAGTACAGTTCACACTGATATGGTAGTAGTATACAGAAAAAATACATTCATTTTGCCTCTCCATTTGAATGTACTTTGATTTTCAAAGAAATAGAGGCAAAATTTTTGTTTGGAATGTTACTTTTTACTCAGCATATAGTTCCTTTTTGGAATTAACTTCTATAGGAAGTTATGATGATGACTAGGCTTAAAAGGATTTTTATAAGCACAAAGAGGATGAAGGGGGCAGCATCATCATAACTGAACAGATAATTTAATTCCAACTGCATTCTTCCCTGTATTTGGACAATAATTTCCCATAAGGAAATTAAGAAGAATACCATCCAACCCTCAATCTTCTAAGGTTTGTAAAATCCCCTATTTAAAACAAACAAATAAACAAAACAAGACTTGAATGAGAAATGAAAAAACATAGTGCTTCTGGTAGCGCTGTGCCAATTCTATTCTTCTGTTTTGGCCCATATCCACCAGTTTGCAATTAACAACATATTTTATTAACAGAAGGGATATTTATGATAGATTACTCTAAGCAAACAAAACCTGCATGCTGTGAGTGCACAGCATATTCCTTTCTGTATGCACATATCACATGAGAACCTCACTCGTGCAACAAGAACTGCAAGACATTTCACCGTTAAGCGAATATAACTGTTACCAAAGGCTGCAAGATTAGAGTCCAGACAGAGGCAAACTGAGGAATTTTCACTACGTCAAACACTGCATTTGAGAGACTGCACCTGAAAATGCAGATGCATTTTCATTCTTTGAAGACCAAGCAAGTTGGAAAAATAAATGGACTATTAAAACAATATTGAAAATTTCAGATGTATAATGACAGTTTTTGTGTTTCTGACAATCTTCTTTGCTCACAAACAAGTACTGTGAGGGGAAAAAATTTCCAAATTTTCCAAATTTCCAAATTTCTCAGTCTGCACATTAATGGACAGTCAAGAACACTTTAAACGGAACAACCCATAAAGATTGCCGTAACTCACTCAGTTCTCACACATCTTCACCTTACGTTGTTTTACCACTGATGATCACAGTCCCTGCTATCAATCCCACACTGACAGCCAGTGCAATGACTTTCCATCAAATGTCTGCCTCTGTATTACCATCTCCTTATCAAATATTCACATGGATTAGACAGCACTGAGTATCAGTGTGGACTGAGCCTTGAGACTTCTTAATAGTTCAAATAATTACTACCATGATTAAAAAAAAAAATTAAAAAAATGTCTAAGTCAAAAATTATGCACTTCAAGTACATGACATTAATTGCCAAATCTACTTAGGGGCACTGAAGTATCTGCAACTTCTGAAACAGCGTACTACCACTAAGTGAGGTTAATTTCATCCTCCTAAAATAAATTCTATAGCTAAGATTTTAACTGTAAAGTATCACTTTTCCATACATAAACAAGACCCATGATAACCTGTAGCAATAAATTAGAAATATAGTAACACTATGATCACTTACACACAGATGGTCTGTTACTCTTTAAAAAGTTACTCTTCAAAAAGAGTAACTGCCCCAGAGTGAGAAACAATCTGTTAATAACATTAATTATACTACCATTTGAAGGAAAATATATTTCAGAGCATTACTTACATGAATAAACCTAAAATGTAGACAGACTTGAGAGAAGTGAGTGCACCTAGTGGGCTCTAACCAAGGAACTGAAATCAATGAAGCATGATGTGATTGACACAGTGTTCACTGAAATGTTATGTTTTTATTATTAGTACTTCTACATTTTGGTGTCAAGCATGCTTAAGATTCTTCTTCAATATTAGTGTGATATTGCATAAGCCACAATCAAGAGACATCCAAAACACCTACTTTTCCATTAGAAAAACCTAATCTAGCCCCCTGCAAAAATGAATCCTGAAGGATTCTACAAGAAAACTAGAAACTGAGATGCAGCAGAACAAAAGCAAAATTAAAAAAAAAAAAGGGATAAAATCTTTTTAAGAAGTCCAAGACATCACTCGTAAGCATGTCAATGTCTGAGCATGCACACACCACACACAAGCTAAACATTATGTCACTTTAGAAAATCCTACCTGTGAAGAGATAAATAATACGCCTTTTAAAATAACAAGCAAAATTAAAGTCCTACAGAAGTTCAAATACAAGCTGATTATAACACTCTATAATAAACCAAATATGGGTTGAAAACTTAATAACAGCTTCGAGAATGGTTCCCTGAACTTTTCAAAATGAAGAGTTTTTACCTGAAAAGGTTTTGGTTCTGATTACAATGTTAATGTTTCCATGTCACAATACTAATAAAACAGTGATATTTGAAGGAGCTCCACAGGTTTACTGCCTAAAAGTAATACTAAAAATTATAAAACGTGTTCATATCGAACCTTCCGAGAAACTCATACAAAGCCTGTTTGACAGAAAACTGGCATTCTAAACTTACTGTAACAACTCCTTGCTGATAACCCATCACCATATTAACTTGAACCTGTTCCCCTAATTTAACATATGATATTTCTCCATTAGTAGAGACAAGCAACTGCTAGCTACGTTTGCATAAGCATAACATCATGGTTGGCCTTCTACAAGTGAATAAATAAAAATATCAGGCCCTAGTATCACATTAGAAAGTATATAGTGCTCCACGTCTAACAAAGTCCTCATATTCAAAGATGTTTCCCCTGACTAAGAGACAGTCTACGCAGACTGGTGTGGACAGGTCCAAGTTCACTCAGTTTTCACATGAAGCTTGCTGGACATGTGTTACCTCCAGTCTGTGAGCTGGATCACCACATTAGCAAGTTGTCACTCTCAGCAAAGATGCTGAGAAGCAGTGTGCATGATCTCGGGCACAGCCACATAGAGCCACAGTTTTCAGATACCTGGTTCATGGGCCGACCTTGTCCACTCCCGTCCGCACAGAAGCACCGTGGGTGCTTCAAAACCGGCACAAGATCCTTCCAAGTCCTGGCTGCTAACCCACTACATGCCAAAAACCTGTCCCTCAAACATTCTTGCAGAAGGTTGACAAGAAATCAACGGTGGAGTGAGAATCCATTGAGAAGTCAAAGGTGAGGACCTAAGTAGACCATCCCTAACATACTAACCCAAAATGCCCAGGCTACAGGTTCTGGAAGGGACTGGAGTTAGCCGTAGCCGCTACCTGAAGGAACAGAGATGGGGGAATTTATACGAGCGAAATTAGTAGTCCCTCTCGAGCGTATAAAGCAGAAACTATTTTACTGCCAGAAAGAAGGAGAAGAGCCCTACTGAAGTGGGGGGAAAAAAAAACCCAACCCCAAACCAACCAAACCACGAACAGGGAAGATCCGAGTACGTAGGGAGGCTGCAGCGCGGCCCTGGCCGGCGGGACGGCGCTCCAGGCACAGGGTGGGATGGCTCCGCCGGGCACCCACCGCCGCCGCCGCTGCCGGGGAGCCCCCAGGCGGCCCAACCCGAGGCCGCGCAGGGCGCTGGGCGGGAGCGTGGCCCTTCCCCGCCGCCGCGCTCCGCGGGCCTCACGCCGCCGAGGCCCGGAGGCCCCGCGCCAGGCCCGGCCGAGGGGAAAAGTTGCGCGGGGGCCCGTCCCGCCTCCCCGCCTTCCGCGCCCGCGGCCGCTCCGCCGCACTCACCTGCTCCTTGCGCTGCCGCGCCGCTCCCCGCCGCCTCCTCCGCCGCCGCCCGGGGCGGAGAGGGTGGGAGGGGGCGAGGGGGGGGTCCGTCCTCCCGGGCCTGGGCGCGGAGCGGCGCGGGCAGGAGGGGGAGGAGCGCGCGGAGCGGCGCGCGCCCCCGCGGACCCGCCGCTCCCGCCCCGCGCGCCGGGACAGCCGCCGAGGGAGCGCCGCCGCCGCCACCGCCCCCGCGCGCCCTGCCCCGCGGGCCCCGCGCCGCCCGCGCCGCCGCCGCCGGCGATGACGATGTGATGACGATGGCGACGGCGGTGACGGTGACGCCGATGACGATGGAGGCGGCGGGAAGGGCGGAAGCGGCGGTGCCGCCATCTTGGGGGAGGGAGGAGGAAATGGCCGGCCCCGCCTCACGGGGAGGCGACGGAGCTGGTTAAGGGCCTGGAGCCCGAGTGCTGAGGGGTTTAGCTGGGGGAGTTGGGGTTGTTTAACCTGGAGAAAAGGAGGCTCAGAGGGACTTATCGCTCTCTACAGCTGCCTGAAAGGAGGTTGTAGCTAGGTGGGGGTCGGTCTCTTCTCCCAGGCGACAGGACAAGAGTACATGGCTTTAAACTGCTTCGGGGAGGTTTAGGTTGGACATTACGAGGACTTTCTCCACAGAAGGGGCGATTAGATATGGAAATGGACTACTCAGGGAGGTGGTGGAGTCACCATCCCTGTAGGTGTTTAAGGACAGACTGGATGTGGCAGTTAGTGCCATGGTCTATTTGACACGGTGGTGGTGTTTGGTCATAGATTGGATTCGATGATCTCAGATCTTTTCCAACCTTATTGATTTTGTAATCCTGTGATCTTCAGTTAGTCCAGGTTGCTCAGAGCCTCATCCAACTTGGTTTTCAATGTTTCCAGGGATGGGGCATCCACCACCTCTGTGGGCAACCTGTGCCAGTGCCGCACCACCTGCATTGTAAAAAACTTACTTCATAATCTCAACCTGCCCTGTTTTGGTTTAAAACCATTTCCCCTTGTCCGATCACCTTATAAGGGTCTTATAACATCATATAAAGCCTAGAGGCCAATGTTTTGATGCACAAACCCTTGGCTGCAGCATAAATGAACTTGGCTAATTGTGGTGGAGGCGCATTTTGGTGGTTTGGCCACCTGTGTGTCCTTGCCTTTATTGAAACGTGCAGCAAGAAGTTCTCATCTGAACATCCTTTTTATTTGAGAGCAGAAACCAGGAGTAGAGTTGTTTTCCAGGAAGGAAATCCTTTAATAGCTCAAGTGACCGAAATGGAGGAACCCCTTCTATGGATGGAGTCTGCCCTATACGACACATGTCGGTCAGAGGCCCATTCGAGGCTACATCACCTGGAATTACCACTATCTAGTGGTACATCTGTGCTATTTTCCTCTTGCAGAATGTTCTATATGTATATATGTGATGCACTGAGCTACCATTGCAGGTATACGTGTATAGGTATGGTTGAAAACAACTGATATATCTTAAAATATTGGGGTTGCAGTCATTCCTTTTTTTTTTTTTTTCTGCATATGTGGAAATAATTTCAATAAAGCAGCAAGCTTTTTTTCTTACTTTTATAACTAAGTGCAGTAATGCTGGAATAAATTATATTCAACATCACAAATGTTGGAGAACATGTTTAGCTATCTCTTTCACAGCAGAAAGTGCTTCTAAGCAAGTTGGCTTAATTTCTTGAGAAGGAAGCAAAAATCCATAAGTTCCAGTGTCTCGTAGCTCAAAGGTAAAAGAATATTTAATGCCAAGATCATAAGCCCAGTCGTCAGACCCTCCAGGAGCTAAATCTATGTGAGGAAGGGAAAACAGATAAATTGCCTGAAGCCAGAACTTCAGTCTTCTGTTCAAAAGCTGTCTTCTGATGCCAGCAAGGACATACTGTCACGCCTTGAAAGTCATACTTACAGATCGTTTGTGCACCAGGACCAGGTCTATAAGTTTCCTTTGTTGTCCTCCTTATAGCTTTAACTGCTTTCTTTGCCAGGCTGTCCTGAAATGAAACAAAACAAAACATTATTAACTTTAAGGCCCTGTGATAATAGTTAATATGTATTCAGTTAGAATTTATTTACACTGTGCTCTGAATCTCGCATTAGTTAAATACTCTTATAAAAAAGTTCTAGAAAACCCACATAATGCGGTAAAAATTTTCAGCATATGCCCATGCTGCAGATTGCATTTCTGCTGTAGACAGGTAAAAAATATAGATAGTAGTAAACTGTTGTCAAACCACTTGTTCTCATTTGTCTCATATTTTTTCTGCCACAGTATTTAAGTCACTGACAATTTATATGGTATTGAGAAAAACAGCAGGAAAGTATTTTAATTGAGAGAACTCTACTCTTAAGCCATAAAGAAGACTTAAATACCCAGAATTAGGGCATCTCTTTCCACTTCTCAGGGAAAGAGTCACAAATGCATTATTACTGTTTACTCACAACTGCGCTTTTTAAATTGTGGTATTCAAAACAGTTTATTTCAGGAAATTAAACAGAAACCAAGACATCACAGAATATATATGTTATTAGGAGTTAGTTTGTTAAATATTTACATTACTGTTTTTTTTTTCATGTCTTCTGAACACACTGGCACTAGTTACCAATGGAAATACTGTATTGGACTGTATGGGATTTTGAAGTAGTACTTTTTACAGTTCTTTTATATATAAAACACTTCTTTTAAAAAAATAAAATGTTTTTTAAAATATTATTTTAAAAAATAAAATATGTTAAGTGACACAGTAGATGCTGACACTGAAAAGCAATCAAAATGACAGCAGTGT